GAAAATTCCCCCCCCCCCCCCCCCAAGACTTTCAAGTGTTCATTTAATCCAAGTTGGGTTGGTCGTAGTCTTCAAATTTCCAGGACTATATTATGTTCTCTTGAATGCTTTTTTCTTGCTTAGAAAATTGTTCTTCGTTTTTTAACGATAGGTCTGAGGAAGGTTCCTGTGTCCGATTCCGGTGGCGGCAAGCTGCGGAGAGTCGGAAGCAACACCAACCACAGGCGCCCGGGTTCCAAAAGGGCCGGGGCAGAGTCTGATGACATGGGTTACTCAACCATGACACCCCTTGAAGATTGTTCAGATGCTGCCTCTTGTAGGGGTGGCCGTTATGTGCATCACAGTGGTGGAGGGCCTTCAAGGAGAAGCATGATGGTTGAGAATCCCTACAGAACTTCTGTGGAACCCAGACCCGCTTTTGGAAGATCTCGGTCTGGATCCTCCAGGTAGGTGACATCGAGTGTGTAAAATAGTGGTGACTCGGTTAACGCACTTTTCCCATTGGTACATTTTCAATGGAGACGTCAGTGGAATAAATAATCTCCAAATCACTAATTCCATGCATGAGTTTCTGGATTTAACACTGTTTCATTTAATGCTTCACTATTGTAACAATGAACTCCCTCTATAACATTTTGTCTGCGACAGTTTTCTCTATACGGTATCTCATTGCAACAAATCTTGTTACAATGAGTCTTTCTGTAACAAGTATTTGATCCCAAAGAAAGTTGTTAGTCACATCACAACGAAGTTTGCGTTACAAAAAAAGCCTTTTCCCTGCTCTCAATCGATTTCTTGAATTTTACTGTTTAACACATTTTTTTTGGTCCCGTAGATTCTCTCATGTTATTTTTGTGTTTTTAAATGAAAATTTCTTGACGATGAACTGTTCATTGAATTTCGTTGCAGAAAGAGTTTACGTGTCTAATATTTAACATTTATTATGCTGTTTTTCAGAACATCATCACCAGTTCTAGCCACAGAGCAGTCCGTTGTTTCCGCGGCAGATTCCGCAAATGGCACAGATTATACAGGAACAGCTGGTGATGAGGAACTGGAGAAGGGGGATATTGGCAGCAGTGGAGAGTGGACTCGTCCAACAACTGTGATACTACAATCAGATACGCCCAATGTACATTCTTGGGCGACAAAATTAGATGAAAACCGTGTTATGGCATCTGTTCAAGTTCACTTTGTAGATGTCTGATCTCTAGAATTTTCCCCGCAATTGCAGAATAGTGTCATCTACATTCATTTTCTGTTGTGAAAGTTGCTGCAATTTTCTTCAAGTGATTTTCAAAAGTTATGGAAAACTCAATTATAAACTATAGTAGAATGAAACTTGGAAGTTAGAACACATTTTTGATGCTTCGGAAAAATGTGGGACCTTTTGAGGAAATTTTTGTGTTCAAAAAGGAATGACTCTTGAGAAATCGAATTTTCTGGAGCGTGCCAATGTGGGAGATATGCTCTTCGAGACATTTGAGCGACTGTGATGGTTTGGGCTACGGAAAGTTAAAGGCCCATTCTTTTCTTTCATTTTTCATGTCGTCGTGGATGTTCGACAAATACTTTGTTTACCTTCCCTTCAAAGCCTTTGATCAAATTTGTTCAAGCGTTCAACTATCTGTGATGTTGTTTCTACTTTCCTTTTTATCTAAAATCTCTCATCGGGCGTCTTCCTTGACAGGAATCGAGGATTCTTAGACATCGAGCTTCTGAAGGAAAAATGTCGCAGGAAATTTTGTTTTCATGAATTGATCTCTGCTGAGTTGTGGTAGTGCTCGTGGTTGTATGGCAACTAATACAAAAGGTTCAACCGAAATTATGTTGTTTCAAATCAGTTACTTGCGTTGATATTCACTCCGCAGACTTGTTCCAAATGTTGAATTAGGTTTGAACGTAAACATACAAATAATCAAAGTGTATCCTACATAATTCTTTAAAATTGATACATCATATTACTCGTTCCCTGGTTTTTCGGGGTTCACAGAAGAAAATTAAACAGCAGTGTAAAATTATATAATAGTTTATCCCCCAGCTTTGTGACATCAATACTTCTCTTGGTCACAGATTCTCGCCATCACTGAAGAGGAACATGACTTGTGTTTGGGAGAAGCAGTCCAAGGAATCCCCCACCTGCAAGAGAAACGATTTCGCGTCAATAATCTTCTAAAAAATACTTGCATTATATCATAAACGGAGTTCGTAACTTTTTGCCTTGACTATCAATATTTACTGTTGATTTACCAGAAAAATGCACACCAAATGACCACAACAAAATTAAATTTGAATTGGGCAAGTGTGGTAGGAAACAGTAAGATCTCCTTCAACAAATACCTTGACAAGAAGTTTTTCAGTAAAACAAACTTTTTTCCAAGTCCTGGCAGAAATCCGAGTATAGGGTACATGTCATAAAAATCTCATTACAACAAACTTGCCAATGTCAGTACAATATAAACTTTTCTGAGGAACATATTATAATTTCTTAATGAAAATCACCAATGAAAGGCAGGCACTGTCTAGACATTCCAAATTCAAAATATGACTGTGACTGGTTCTTAGAACAGAATGTGGAATCAAGGACATGATTTCTTCAAAATTCACCTGAACATACTCTCTTTCAAAAATAGTTCCTCCGTTAGGAATGATGAGGGGGGGGGGGAAGTTAGATTTAAAAAATGAACCCAGCGAAATTCATGTTTGAAGGGGTTTGTATGCTTGAGAAACCTGCATGTGATGTAAAAATTGTAAGCAATTTTGGAACATCAACAAATACAAATCTTTGCAGGAATTGTTTAGAAAAATGCAAGAGTCTAGAAAAAGTGCTAGTGTTTACCTGTTATTAAGAGTAAATTTTTCAATCAATAATTAAATCTCCATTTGAAGATCAGTTTTTTTAACACTGAAAAACATCTGAAACAGCCAGAAGGCAAGATATTAAATATACGCAGATCTAATTTGAAGAAAATCTCGTCGATCAATAATTTTCAAAGTCTTGATACAGTATAACAAATTATTTGTTATGACAAATTTTTCTGAAGTCCCTGCAAGCTTGTTTTAACAATATTTTACTGTATGCCCAAAAGGCTTGTACTTTTTTCCTGAACTTGAGAAGACAAGCCGTTTAACGTGACAATTTTGTTTCCCCTTTACAAACAAAAACGTAGAAAAAGAGTTCTTTGGGGAAATTATGCTTTGCATCCAATTTTCAAAAGCCAGCAATGAACCAGTACAAAAATCAAAAACTCACCCATCATCAAACACGCAACAGCCACCATTGGTATAACACAATACGCATCAATGAAGTACCCAAAGGCGATGTTCCCCAGAAATGCCCCGATCCTCAAAGCCCCCGCTGTCAGAGCCATGGCCGTCGACCTCAACTTGGTAGGGAACAGTTCCGTGGCGAGGCAATTGAGGGAATTGAAACCCATGTTGGACACTGAACTGAAGGCCATGGAAACCAACAGGTTCTCCAACTGACTTCTCACCAGCCAAACCGCAAAAACACTCGCACCAGCTCCAACCATACTCACAACTGGAAAACAAATAGAATATTCTCCAGGGTTAACTCGAAAGCAATGAGGGTTCAAGAGAAAAATGCACTCAAAAAAACTTGGCGAATTTTCTACTAAATTATTCAAACACCTTCCGTCAACGCACCTAGAAAGAACTTCCGCCCAAGCTTGTCCATGTGCAGAATGTTCCAGACGTTGGTCGGAAATGGCGCGATCGCAAGCAACATTTGGTTCGCGTAAACCAGGGGATCAAGTGGAGAACAGGTCGGAGGAGCGACATCTTCTTCAGGTAAACGAACGTCACAAATCCCGACATCGTCAACGGTAGGATGAAGAGACCGATATTTCAGCAACCGGTTGAAAATTTCCGGAAACCACATCATCAGGCCATAATACCTGCAAAAACCAGATTTACCATGCAGACCCAAAAATAAACATTTCCTTCCCGTTTTTCCACACAAAAATTTTAAACAGAGCTTTGGAATTGCGAGAAACTGGAAAGCTTAAAATCCAAACTAAGTACTGTACAGTATAGGAAACGTATGATTCAACGCAAATAAATGAAATACTCCTATTTCCGTCGTAACGGGTAAGTCACAGTAAAAATGAACGAAATAAATAAAAAGATTACCGTATCAACCAGAATATAAGCAACCATTTTTTAAATTTTAGAAGCTCAAAAACTACGGAGGTGCTTCTACAGTATTAGTATATTAATTCAATTCGCGTAAATATGCGTTTATATCAGGAAATATTCTGTTCGTGGCCCAAAAAAAAGGAAGGGCATTTCTTTGGGAATTGACGATAAAATCAATCAAGAATTGGTCAGCTTTTAGCACTTCAAAATGCATAAGTCATTGACTGAAGAGGAAGAGCGAGGGTGGTGTGAAACCATTTATCTTTTCCTCGGGGGAAACCTGGATTTAGTCAGCATTTTCTGAATCCTGGAAAGTCAAAACACCAGGATATTAAGTGGGTATAAAGTACAGTGTACAGTATTCGCTTATTAATTGAATTAATTTCATATTTTGCATGAAAAACAAAGGGCTACTTATATTCGCGTAAAGACAGTCCCTCTAGAAGGGATGTGAATTCGTTCCTACGAAACGTTCGATAAATATTTCATAACAATCTACAGGGAATTGGGAATGCAAGAATCGCTACTTACCCAAATGCTATTGAGAAATGGATGCTGAAGAGGATCCAGAAGTTCCGCTTAATCGAACCACACAGCAGCTGCTTCACATGATTCAACGTGGTTTTCACGATAGACTTTCTTTCCACGCGAGCTTCTTTCGATCCAACTATCTCATCCACAGGAAAATTTTCATTCAACCTAAGATATCCTCCGTGGTTTCTCTGATTGTTCACGCTCCACACGTATCTCAAAATTTCTAAGGCTTCCCGGTTTTTGCCTTCCGTCATCAAATATCTCGGGCTTTCGGGAAAATATAACACAAGGCAACCAGCTAAAGCAGATGGTATTCCACACAGCGCAACGAATAACCGCCAAGGTGCGTATTTGAATGTCCCGAGGTACATCACAATTGAGCTCGGAATCACAGACCACGCGAATGCGGCGGCTATTACATTTCCGACGAGGAAAAAGGAGGCCAGGAAAGTCACCATCCGGCCTCGCACCTTTGAGGGCTGAAATTCAGCGAAATACGGCATGTTTACTGGCAATGCGGCTCCAACTCTGAAAAAAGACCAGTAAAATCGATAGCATATAAATTTTAAAATTGGAACAAGAGACCGACCGAATGCGTTCAAAAGAACACAGATCCCTATCAGTTCTAAACTACCTTTCAGACTGAATACGAATTCAAGTTTTGAACCACGTCTACCATACAGTTTCTCTAAAACGGAAAGAATGTTTCTTACCCACAAGCGCTGAGGAAACGAAGGGACAGAAACGGCCAGAAACTCGGCATGAAGGATGAAGCTATTCCGAAAAGACCATTCGAAATCATACTGATGAATAGGACTCCCTTCCTACCGAAGAAGTCTCCGACGATTCCACCCACACAGCCACCAGTCATTAGACCTAAGAAAACCCCATTATTCATCATTTTCGCGAAACATTCAATGACAAACTGTCATACCCATGAACACAGTCGCATTGAGCCATCCTTTATCAGACGAAGTCAAACTTAATTCGCATTCAGCTGCCGGTAAAACATAAGCAATGCACAAGATTTCGATGGCATCTGCAGCCCACATCAATCCACATAGGATCAGGAGACGATGGTGGAACCATCCTACACCTTTTTTAGGAAAGCTTGCCTCAATTCAACCCTGAATTCAGACATTCAAATTAACTCACCTGCAGCTTCTATCGCTTCATCAACCGTGGCATATCGTCGTCCTGCTGGATAATTACATGATTAAGGGTGTAATTCACAGGGAATCAAAATCAAGAACTGTACCACGTCGCTGCGGCAAAATCAGCGTTCCAGATTCGCTGAAGTCTTCAACGGAATCACTCATTTCCATACTGATTCACATACAACATTTCCAAGGAATGTCTCAACCGATCGATAATCATCTCCAGAAAATAAAGACGAGAACATCAGAAAATGATCTGCCGTTCTCCTTAGACCACACGTCTCATTCGAACACGGACACGTACATAATCTGTCTCGTTCTGTTCACTTCTGAACAGGACAGTATTACATAACAACAAAGCCGGTTGAACATGGCGACGCCCAGTCGGTCTCATTCTGCGTCATAGGGCACGGCGGGGTTGCTCACTTCGTGGCGATTGATCTTCATCAAATTCAAATCTTAACAATCATTGTTTCAAACACGATTCATGTTGATATTCTGATTTTTAATAACTTAGCCTACGGATTTTGAGATACTTTGAAAGCTTGATCACTGACGGTTGTAATCATCCAGTCTGAATAAGCAACGTAAAGTTTTGCGTAGCCGTGATTTGAGACAACTCTGGAAAGCACGTGAGCCATCAGCTTGGAGCTCAGAATTCATTGACCCCGTATGCAAGTGCCAGGAAATGAAATAGGGAAAGTATTCTTGCGCTTTCGGTCTTTGCCACCGCCCTGTGCAGTTCATCTCCGTCAAAGTATTACAGTGATTGCTTTTTCCTACTTACATATTTGACTTATTATTGGAAGTTGCTTTCTGTGGACCGCACTTACTGCAGCAACATAATTGCGAGAAGCCTATAGTGGGTGAATCTAGTTCGATTTTCATGAAAAGCTGTATTGAACAAGTGCTACATGCTTAAGATATCAATCGATCCAACTTTTTTTTTGTGTGATCTAGAGAAAAAATTTGCCCTGGGCAACGTTTTCTGATTGTTCATATCCAGTCCGGAGTTCGTTTCGATGCGCGGGTATGAGACGAGCAACATGAAGTGAGTATATGTTTTTGCCGCGATGGATATGATTTTCAATGCATTAATTCTTGATAGGCATTATGAACCACTGGTTCATCCGTATCACGGCTTTGGCACCCTTGGAGTCCAGCCTGCGCAGCACTTTTACTTCTCTTCGGCAAACTTGATGGGAAAGGCCGTTTGCAACCCTATACCCTATACGGCCCCTCCTGACACAAATAAACTGAGGTTTCCGTCTTCCGGTGTAGCTCCGATTACAAAGATTATCGAAGAAGATGAACCTCCACCACCCGGTCTCACGTGAGTACAGAACATTGAAGCGAAACCGAACAGTTCTAGCTAGGTTTGCTGCCATTTTTACGTTAAGGCAATTTTGACGGAGTAATGTATAATCGATAAAAATTTAATATCATTCGTATGCAATTAGCTTCAGCTTCGGATTTCCTTTTTTTCGCCGAAAGTATGACTTAACCCCTAATATTTTTTCACGAGAAGTAGCTTGGGAGTAAATCTAACGTTCTCTATTAGTTTTGAATATTGTGATTTAGTGCGTGATATTTCTCCTATTTCTGGTTATTTCATAACTTAAGTCTGAAATCTGCGAACTGTTTATTTCTTCAAATAATTATGAGGTTTGATGTGAATCTCGTGTTTTTTTTTTTTGTCCTTTGAAGAACTCCACCCATGTCACCCAAACCTGGTGGGCTCGATGAAGACGGGATTCCAAGAGAGCTAGGGGAAATGCAGAAGCCGGACTCCTGCAAACTCTGCTCGGTTTTGTTTTCATGCAATCTGAAAGGCCAAATGCATTATGCTAGTCGTGGTCACAAGCGGAAAGTGAAGCAGTTCACCATAGACTATTGTCAGAAGCATCGACTGTCTCTGCCAGAACAATTCTGGGTCAAACCCGTTGTCCAAAAGGTGGCAGTGCCAAGCATGCGATGTCGGATATGTCAGGTGTCGTTCGCCGATAATGTGGAGGCTGACAAGCATTTTTCCGGCATTTGTCACGACCGCCGGCTTGATGGATTGCCTCCGCTTCGGACAGGGTTCTACAACAAACTTAGTGGAAAATGGCAGAAGAAGTGAGTAATTCTTTTATATTGAGTGAGCTCAACGAAACGAAAAAAGTGCATGTTGTGATTAATGTACTGCAGTCCTTGATATGGGTAAACGACAGCTACCTCTTTTTCCTTTTTTTTTCAAGCGATGAGTGCTTACTCAAAACCTGTCATTCAACGTGTGATTTTCTGAATGGTCTGCGTTCTTCCATCATTAGAAATCGTTTATTTATGACAAAATGCTCATATTATATCTGATTTTTAACAGGCCGCCGACAGCTCACAACCTCAGAAAGAAAATATGGTGGAAGCCAGTGAATACGTACAGGGATGACGTTGTGGAGATAGGATCTGCGGGTCAACGAAAAGTGCTGAAGTGAAAAAATGCAGCAGTTTTGCAGTTTTTTCTTTTTTAAGTAGTGCGTGAGAAATGGATGAAATCCTTGTTTTGCTCTGCGCGCGAAGGATGCGCTTGGGTCCCGTTGTCCGTTTCGTTCTGACCGGATTTTGAGGCTTGCGGAATGGACAAGGGAAAGAGGTTTTTGTTCGGATTCTTGAAGAATGCAAAAATGTTTCAAATCCGTTTTTTTCTGCACTGTAAGACATTTTATCGTTTCGTTCTGTATCAAGCGGGTGTTTGTTTTTTGTTCTCACGGTGTGTCGAATCACATTTTGAAAAGCCGCTTGACGTCGAAACACTTTCGTTGTGTGTGTTTTTTTAAGGTACATCCTGGCGGGTCTCATTTGGAAAATGATTTGAATTGGGGCATTTCTTCGCAGTTTTCCCTTACTGTTATGAAAACCCTTGGGTGGATGATTGAGATTGAATTTGTCTTGGACGAAATTTTCCGTTTATTCTTTTCTGATTTCTTTCTTGATTTTTGACAGTGAATGTCGACATTAAAAAAAAAACGTGAAACAGAACTGTGGTACCTGCAGTCCGATGTTTGCCCCTGTAAGCCAAATTTGAAGGGGCCAGCATAAAAAAAATTGTTGATGAAGTTAGAGGAACCAGGGCTGATGATGCATTGGAGTAGGAAAATATTAATTTGATAGGTTTTTGAATTAGGGAGGCATATAAGTTCCACTCATATTGTCCATCAACTGCGCATGTACAGTTTTTGATCGTCTCTCTTCACGTCACGCAGGGACATTGTTTTTGTAAAGCTTTGAGTCTTGATAAGAAAAATTGCTGCTCGTAGTAGAAAAAAAAGTTCACCCTAAGTTTTTCGTTTTATAAATTTTCATTAGTATTGGTGCTCCTGACAAGACTACCCCTTGAGAGTTTTAAAATGTTACCGTATAAGATTTAAATTTTATTGGTGCCATTAGTAATTCCCAATTTATTCAAGTTGGACAGTGTTCATCCCTTTATCCAATATTTGGCTTGGCTTTGAGATTGGAAATGCGATATTAAATTCGGTTAAATAAACGAATAAAATGAAATTATGCGAAATAATTACAGGTATTAAAACCATTTAAATTCTTTCTGGAGCCTATAGTCAGTTTAATTAGTTGTTCGAATCATCGCACAAGTCAAAGAATTGAAAATGCAAATTTTGGATCATATGCAACTTTTCTGCTAAACGCTGCATTCTTATAAATTTTAAAAGTTGATGGGAGATTTTTGTTTCTAGAATTATGCTCTCCATATATATACCCACTTTCTAATTTCTGAATTCAGTGTGCCTTTTATTCATTACATAATTTCTAATAGTGACCAACAATTGAACAAAGCCATTATCATGCTGCTTGCTTATTTCATCAAGAACAGATACCAAACCTGACTGGAAAATATGAATCTCATGTATTATATTTACGATATGTATACAAGTTTGTTCAAGGAAAAGAATTTTCGAAGAGTTTTGTGAATTTCTATCACCAAGTACAGTACTGTACAGTAAATGTTGCTAACAAATTTTGAACCATACCTCGTACGCTTGATAAGGGACAATACATCTTGATGCATTGTGTTGCGCCTCACTAGGTGTCACGGCTTGTAACGTTGCTTTTGGTGGATGGAGACCTCGATTTTCCTTCCTCCAGAGGGGCCCAAATTTTGCCCCCATGGAGAGCAGCCATATTTCCCGTTCGAGTGTTGAACAGTGAACATCGGTGAACGATGGCGTCTACCGTCCTAAAGTGGAAACGAGTGAAAGAGTCCGCCGGTCCCAGTCCCAAACCTCGACATGGGCATCGTGCCGTAGCAATCAAGGATTTGATGATCGTTTTTGGAGGTGGAAACGAAGGAATATGCGAAGAACTGCACGTTTACAACTCAGGTGGGTTGATGATGAATTCTTTCAAAAGTTCGGAATATTATGTGCGAATGAGGAGTTCTACGGCGGAACTGTTGGTAAAACAATTTGAGAAAGACCTGAATGTCGTAAATGCTGTATTGTAGCGTACTATATTCGTGCCTGCTGAAATTTTTCGTGATTGGTGTTTCAGTCACAAATCAGTGGTTCGTCCCGCCTGTGAAAGGTGATATTCCACCGGGATGTGCGGCTCACGGCCTCGTCGTGGACAACACTCGAATTCTTGTGTTCGGCGGAATGATCGAGTATGGTCGTTACTCGAACGACCTGTACGAACTTCAAGCGAGCCGGTGGGAGTGGAAGAAGCTTGTCACAAGTCCGGAGAAAACTCCATGCCCTCGTCTCGGTCACAGTTTCACATTGATTGGAAATCACATCTACATGTTCGGGGGATTGGCTAACGATTCTGACGATCCAGAAAAAAATGTGCCTAGGTATTTGAACGACTTCTATTCGATCGAATTGCTGAATGGAACAGACGTCGATGATTGGGTTCGAGTGATGCCGTTTGGCATGCCACCTTCACCCCGGGAATCGCATTCAGCCGTCGCTTATGTTACGAAAAGTGGAATGAGCAAACTGGTTATTTATGGCGGCATGAGTGGCTGTCGGTTAGGTGACCTATTCGTCTACGAAGTGGACTTGGGATCGTGGAAAAAACCTGTCATCGGTGGCATGCCGCCTCTACCCAGATCTCTCCACACAGCAACTGTCATAGGCCCTCGCATGTTCGTTTTTGGAGGTTGGGTGCCACTTGTAGTCGAAGACCCGAAAGGTGGCGTTCAAGAGAAGGAATGGAAGTGCACAAACACACTTGCGTCGTTGAATTTAGGTGAGTTTTTGATGAAGTATGTGATGTTTATAAAACCGAAAATCTGTATTTTTTTTCTCATGCAGAAACTATGTCTTGGGAACCCCTAGCGATGGAAGTGTACGACGAAAGTCTTCCGCGAGCGAGAGCCGGGCATTGTGCAGTTTCAATACGTAATAGGCTATACATCTGGAGTGGGAGAGATGGTTACCGAAAAGCTTGGAATTTCCAAGTTTGCTGCAGAGATTTTTGGTACTTGGAAACGGAAGTACCTGCTGCACCAAGCCGCGTTCAGCTGGTGAAGGCCAGTTCCACTTGTTTGGAAGTATCTTGGAAGCCAGTTTCAAACGCTGATGGATACTTGGTTGAATGTCAGAAGTTAAGCGCCCCGTCATTGAAATCAGAATCCGACGTGAAAAGCAACGTAGACATGAAGGTTAAAATAGAGGGTTTCAAGGCGCCGAAACCGGCTCCCCAGCAGCCGACGATTGTGACGCCTCAGGGAGTTCGATTGATCCCAGTTCAAGGATCGGGATCCAATGTTGTGAAGTGCAATCCGCCGCCGAAGGTAGTTTCGAGTCCATTGCCCGTCATTGCACAACAATTACCCAAAGTGGTTCGTCCAGCAAGTCCTAAACTCCCTGTTACCGGACAGAAAGTTGTTTCTCTGGGGCCTTCAAGCATTCTGCAGCCTAATGCAGTTTTCAAAACAGTTCAGTCTCCACAAGGTGTACAACGCATTGTGCGCAATGTTGCACCTGGATCTGCTGCTGCTCTTGGTAATTGCTTTCTGGAAATTTTTAATCAGGAACTGTCTTGAGGTCTCTATGTTTTTTGCAAGTAATTGGTGCATCAAGAGTGTCAACAAGTTGAAATGTCCCTAAGTAAAGTCTTGTTTTCCCATTGACTCACATCATACAATTTTTAATTGGTGTTTCGTGGAAGGAATATTCTTCAGAATTTCCTTGAAAAAATTGTTTGCCACTTGAATTTGGATTAGTGAATGCATTTTCCACTCAATAAGAACATTTGGAGCATTGAAAAGTGTATCTGTACTGTCCACTGAAATTTTGACATCTACAAAGATAACATTGAAGTGAAAAAAAGTAGAAGTCCCTCTATGTTGGAGGTACTGTACTATATTTAATTGAGAACCATGCGCCCTTGAGTAAGGCGCACATGGGGTTTTCAGTTGGAAATTTGACTAAAATCGTATCCCTGAGTAAGATGCGCACCCCAATTTTTTGTGAATCTGAAACCACAAAATTTTGAAAATAAAAACAAAAAACTGACTCTAGACATGAATTGGACAAAAATCTGATCAAATTTTCAACTGTTCCTATACAAAAAAGTTTTCTTGTTACATCTGTTCCAAATTTCTCCATTATAATTAAGTATAATGCACACATAACATCCTAAAACTTCTTGGAAAATTTGTACCCACTTATGACAGGCACCCCTTTTTTTTCTTCTGAAATTGAGAAAAAAAATGTGTGCATGCTACTCAAGTAAATATGGCAATTTTTTTAATTAACTGAATGGATGGAAAATAAGTGATAGAAATGCCCAAGAGCTTTTCTTACATCAATTTCATGGTTGGAGGTACAGTATCTTTTTCTTGTAATTTGGCCTGAAATGTATTTGCAATTTTATCACAAAATGTCCTCATGTTGAGTCAGTGTCCTCATGTTGGGCCTTATTTATTGATCTTTTTTTTGGAAAGTAACTGTCCCTATGTCAAATTGTCTGCAGGTTGAGGCATCCGCATGTGGGGGTCTCACTGTACTTCATGTGGTTCTGTTCTGATATTGGGTCAGTAGATTTTTTTGGATAATTGAAGCATATTCTCTTGAAGTTGAATGAATTGTGGGATTTTAATTTTTTGCAATTTCAGAAACCTTATTAAGTTTAGTATTGGTTGGCAAAGGTACAATTGTTCAAAGTGCGGTGTCAAAAAAGAAACAGATTAGGACGGGAAAAGATGGTCATGGGTAAATACAACGAAGAAGTTTTCGCTTTCTTGTTGATTTTTCTAGTATCATTGGGCGTTCAACTGAAATTTGGCTGCAGTTATTTTGATTCATTTGTGGAAGTGCTTTTTGACTGACTTCTGAATCCTCTAGGTGCCAAAATGGTGTTCGTTTCCTCTGGCAGTATAGCCAATTTGGGTTTGGCCAGTACGAAATCTATAACAATCGCCGGAGGCCAGAGTGTTCCCCAAGGAACCAAAGTTGTAACGTTGGGCAACAAACCTGGCAGTCAAACCTTGATACTGGGTGGAAAGCCGGTAACAGTGCAGGTTACAACTGGTGGTGGTGGGAAGACTGTTACAGTTCTACAAAGTCAAGCTGGTGGTTCGTCTCCCTATGTGAGTCGAGTTCAGATATCCTTTAGAGTTAAATTGTCTTCACGATAATATACTTTACATCCTACCTGAAAGCAGGATTTTTCCTCTTGACTAATGGTAGACTGTAGCTAAAATAATTCTAATATTTTTATATACTTTTCTGAGTACGACGAGACATTATTGCAATGAAGAGGCAGCTTCTATGCAGCAATATTGTCCATTTGTTCCTGGAGGATCTTTTTTGACGGTTATTGTTCTATCAAATAATGACAGTTCAATTGCAGTCGCTACATCAAAGTGACATATTTTTCAACTTGCAATTTTAGCTGACGAGTGCAGTTGGAGAAAAGAAGTTCGTCGTTGTGCCACAGGTAGTCACGTCAGCTGCATCAGGGTCTGAACAGAGCAGTTTTTCGGGTAGCGACTCGATGATGGATATGAGCTCTGGAGCAGATGGTGAGTATAGCTTGATTTTTCGCGAAGTTTATTTGATTTTTTGTACATGACCTGATACGGGGTTGAAATGCAAATTGCATGTTCTGCTGATTCAGCAAATACAGTATACGGGTTTAATTTTTGTTGCTAGATGGAACTGGTGAAGAAATGGATGCGTCTGGTTTCTCAATTCCGCAAGTGGATGGTGTTGGCGAAAATTGCGACGACGAAGATATGTTTGATTTCTTGAGTCCACCTTGAGGTTCGATGTGGCGCTCGTTTCTACGTTCGATATCCGACGTTATTGAAATTTTGTAGATCAATTTCGCGGAAAGGGAAATCCGGTCTAACTTTGCTGACTTGATATGGTCCATTTGTTTGTATTTTTTTATTCGAAGGTATTTCAAGAAATCGATTTCTGGAATGCGCGGCGTAAATGTATTTCGGTTGTATTTTTCTGTTTCTGAAGTTCTCCCTTTTGTTTTCCGAGTTACGAGGAGCATTGCCCTTATGTTGAATCATTTGTGCTGTGCATATCCAGAAGCTTTGAGTCAGCGCGGTTTAATTTATTTTGTGTAGGGTCCATGGCGTCATCTTCCATGGGCACTGCAAGTCTTTTTATCTTATTTTTTTCTCTGCATGCGCGTTATGAATATACCTGGAGATTTTGGCCATAATGCTTCATTCGCTATTGCATCTTCTGCCAGTTTCTGGGTAGAAAATCTGGTGGAGGGGAGCGGGATATATTCGTATCTTGCTTTGATGGAAAACTTGATTGTATCAACCATTCTTCTGATAAATTCTGGGCAAAATACTCCTTGGAATCAAGACAACAGGATTTTGCCCTAACCATTGGAAACCGAATTATATTCCTTGTCTGTTCTGCCCTATGCCTCCAGAGAACTCAGCAACAAAGAATAATGAATTTTTTTTTCTCAAAGATGTATCACAGCAATTGTACAGCGAAGTTGCTATTGACACCTATGGAATCCTCCAGTGTTTGTGGCTGAGAAAATTGCCTCTTTGTGGCTTGGAAGCATTTTGACTTCCCTCCACTCATTGCTTCTCAGCTCCTGTATCTTCAAACTCAGTTAGGGTTAGACCAACAGGATACCTGGGTGCTGGTGTGAGGCTTTCCTCATGGTCAGCCCTGCCTGCGTTTCAAGGTCACTGATTTTAGGTGTACAAGTTGTTCTGGGTTGTGGTAAGATGAAGCTGTGGCTCTCACACAATTGTGAAGTGTGATACATATTTTTGTAGAAATGGAAATGGCATACATTTTCTTAGGTTCATGACTGATGTCACCCAGGCTGTATATACATATTTTTCTTTTTGCCACCCTTTATCCAATAGGAAAAATGTGCTCAGCATGCCTGACATTTCTGTCTTTCATTTTACACCAGCAAATCAGGCATTTTACAAGCCATTGCAAATCTGAAATGCATCCATTATGTATGTACAGTGGCAAGTCATATTTCTTGGATTTCAATGAAAGATATATCACGTGGGTTGCGTATTAGACATTCAGCATACACACATCACGGAAAGCATTGGCAGAATGCAAATCGCCCTGATTAATCTATCCGCTTTCCTATTGATGAAAGAATGCTTCATTTTCCATTTCCGTGAAAAAAATATCATCAATATACAGTACCTACATATTTAGTGCTATATCTATGAGATGTACATTACAGTATAGAGAATGGGTATACAGTACAAGAAAATACAGTACAGTATTTGCACTGCATACCAAAGGTAATGAAAAAGCTAGTTCCACATTTATAGACACAATTACTGTATGTAAGGTACAGTACTTTGTGACCAACATCTCAACATTTTTCTGGATAAAAACAGCCTTGTGGCATTCATAGTACTGTGCAGTAATGGCCATTCTAATAATGGTACCACCACAATGATCAGATGTCACTGATGACCAGACCATAATTTGGAATTTTGTATGCACAAGTGCTCCGCCTCTTTTGGTTTGCGAGCATACGACATCGATCCCTATTATGGTACAATTTTCAGGTCCCTGGAATGTCATCTTGGTTGCATTCACGTGAAATTGGATTAACATCGGTGACAATCCGTCAGTCGCGGACAGCCGGTTGTAAATTGGTGGCGAACCCACCAGCGTGACGTAACGGCGTGTGAGCATCATTAATTCATCTGTGTGATTTGTGACGATGTCGGACGGTCTTCTTATTATGGAAGACACGCTTGCCGTGGATTTAAATGATCTGATATTAGGTGATAGTTTCGAGGAACGAGTAGCTTCGTCTTCGAGCATCCTCTCAGCGTCGGAAAATTCTTCGCTAAGTTCTCCTGACGAAGTCCTGAATGACCTTCCGAATCTTATCGCTAATTTCTTGGACGAGTGCTCATTCGTCCTGCCTCACCTCGAACCGACAGTGATTCAATCCTTCGTTCTTTCCAAATGGGATCACATCTTGGGACCACGAGCAGTTCACGTCTGGATGTTGGATAGCACAGAAGAACCAGTGATGGTAGGCGACGTGCCATTGCCCAGTCGGTCATCAGTGATTGATGCCGTCCATTACGTTGTTGATCATTCTCTGAATGCATCTGATGCCGGGGAAACAGTTCATGGAAATAAAAGTGCCCTTTACGTCGTCCCTCGTGATAACCTTGTTAGCTTCGCCGTCTGTTTCCGAGTTGGGGATAGACGCGGAGCAAATCATGTGGCGTATTCTTTATCCGTCATCGTCGAGTCGAAGTGGCTACAATTTGTGTGCGATATTCAACCCATTCTGCAAACCGCCCTGCAAATTCAAGCAGCGAAACTCCGCGTGTACTTCACGAGAGATGTCCCTTCGGATTCGACGAGCCAAGACTGGATATCTGCGACGTCAGTATGTCTCGTTGACATGTGTGTGATGCTTTCTGCCTTACAATCAAATCCTCTGGATAAATTTATTCCCATCACTTCGAGTTTGGGAGAAGACAATGAATCTGGAAGCGGAAACGTCATGAACCTCATGGCGGACAAGCGATTCTTCGAACGAGCTCTGACTGGTCATTTGCAAACCGGAGGAAGAAGCTTGGTGTTAGGATCTAACGAGAAGGTAGTTGCTTCTATGCTGGGAATTTTATCCCTGTTTTTGACGAGAGAAGAAAGAGTTGCGTCATCGGGACCCACTGGGTCCAGAAAGTATTTTCCGCTGTTGCACATGCAAGGATATTTGGTGGACTTAGTCGGTATAAATTACATAACCGCCGCGTCATTGATGGAATCTCCATCTCCCATCACAATCATTGACATGAACAAGTCGCAGGTGCGCCAAACTGCGCTGAAGCATCATCATGCCAAGCTGCACCATCTATCAGTGAAGAATACACTGATGTCGTTGAGAGATCCGCAATTGAGGATGCCGCAATTTTCTGAGTGAGTGTTCTGAAACTTTTTTGAAATGGCAAGTTTGGGTTCCTTTTTCTTTTCAATAAAGGCTTGTGTAGTCGTTCGAAAATATGTTAGCCAGCGCAGATAAGATAAACTTCGATTCAGGAATTTGCACATTTTCGTCAGATTTTCAAGATTTGAAAACAAAGAATCTGCTGAGTTGGAAGTTGTAAAAAAAAAAAATAGTGTGTTCAGTACAATGCACGTTACCGCTTGAATTTCGTAAACATGTCGATTACCCGAGAGACTCCGCTGTAAATAACAATATTATTTCTCTAGCAAATATTTTTTTGGTCGTCGCATTTTTTTTTATCTTTTGATAGTTAAGCTTCTCTGTGCTTTCCCCGAATTTTGCCTGAAAGTGTATCGTTTCCTTGAGTGTATTTCCTGAATATTGTTGTGTAAAGCGGATTTTGTGAAAGAATTACCAATTTTTTTTTATAGGACAATTTTGCATCAAGTTCGCGAGGAAAGCCCGTTAGTGATCGGCCTTGTGAAGGAGATCCTGAAAGTTCCTCCTGCATTATGGGAATACGTTATTGGCCTTTTCATGCGAGAACTGAATTGGAGAGCGTATGCTTTGATTCAAATTGTGGAGGATGAAACCAATTGGATTGCGCAAGATATTGACGTGGGTTCAGCCAAACAACCGATGCATAAATACCTCCAATCTCTCGTCACTGGCGTTTCCCCTTCGACTCCCCAAGAAGCAGATTTCCTCATCATTCTTGCCATGGCCGATAAACTTTCACCAGGCATCTTCAACTACGTAATGAACAAGAAAATTCCGCTGTAATTCGCATTTATTCGTCGGGATTCTTTGAGCTGTGATCCGTGTGGAAAAAAAGAAATGATGGACGTTTTCATTGCCAAGCGAATTGTTCAAATTCTGCGTGAGTTCTTGACAGCTGGAAAATTAAGTTTACGATTGATTTCATGGCGCACATCACGAAATCCGGAGGTTGAGAGTGGACCAACAGTGCATTTGTTTCAAAAATTGCATTATAAAACTTGATGGATTTAAATTTAAAGTCTATAAGCCTGGAGCGCTTTCCAGCTGTTGAGCGAAACTCGTTCATGTGACCTGATGCCTTGGGTTGAAATTCTCTAACACTGTGGTGAAAAATTGAATGAAGTCATGTTTTCTCTGACGAGGGTGTACGTGTCACTGGTCATGTGATTTCAAAAGTGATTTAAATGGCTGGATTAGATGACTATCAATACTATGCTAAGTTTCAGTCGGCGGAATCTCCGTTTTGGGAGAGTCCCAATCGCCAGCGTCCGAGTGAAAGGCGTCCTGTCGACACCCTCGATTCCGAAGATTCCATTCGGTAAGTGACGTCTTATTTTGTTTTGACGTAAATAATGGACGTCTCGCTCGGTGCATTTATTATTTTTTTTGCGATGGACTGGTTCGGATAATATTATTCACGGCAGGAGTGTTTTGATGAAAGATGGTTTTCTGCGGAAGAGTGGTTTACTTGAGTACCACGCGCCCTCGAGTAATACGTGTATCCAGGGTCTGAAATTCCTGTAAAATGGTATCCTCGAGTAAAACGCGCACCCAAATTTTTTACTTGCTGTAGAACTGCAGCCCTTCTAAAAGAAAGCTCTCGAATTGGAATTAGGGCATGAATTTAAGATGAATTCAATTAATTTTCAATGGTTTCCACAGAATAAGTTTTCATGTTGAGATTGGTCCAAAATTTCCTATCAGCATCAAGCATAATGCGTAACGAAACTTCTGAATATTTTTGAAAAATACCCGCCAAAGAAACGTACCACCATTTTTTCGTCGCAATATCGGTAGAAAAAGTGCGCGTGGTACTTGAGTAAATGCAGTACTGTATCTTTTGAATAAATAAATTCTTCTAAAATTTTCATGATTGCATTTAACATGATTTTGTATGTTCCTGACTATTTTCTGCCAAGTTTTGTAGAATTTAAAATGCTCCGTTATTTAATAAAAAATTGTTATGGACGTTCACGAGTTATTGGAGAGGGATTATGCGTTCGATGAAGTGCGTCGTGTAAGCTAATACTCAGTCGAGGGATTGGTGGTCTGGAATGGAACCGCTTATTCGCATTATTTGTAGTACAGTATTATTCAGTTATTTTTTTTTATATTGGCCATTTCTTCTGAACAGGGTCGTTAATTAACCGAGATTCAGTATACAGTAAATCAATCAAATCTGGTGTTTTGAAAATGTCCAACATTTGTCGGTTTCTCTATTTGGTGGAATGCCAGGATTGGATTCTAGGGTAGTTCCGTTCGTCGGATGCTTCTGGAATTCATCTCATTATTGAATAATTTTTATAACCCTCTTGCATCTTTCCGCAGACAACGTTTCCAATTATACAAATCTATTGTGGCAAATTTTCATTCTGAGAAAAACCGCTGCACCTCGTGACTATAAGTTCCATAAATTTGCAATCATTTTCTGTTGAATGGAGTACTTCGGATATTGTTAAATACTAAAGGTACAAGGGGTGTTACGCTTCAAAATTTCAAGAAATTTATTTTGTGAAATTATGGAATGATGTAAAAGAAGGGACAAGGGCATGGTATAATTCAAATTGAACGCGTTTTCGCATCGAAGAAAAAATGTAGAGTATTTTAATTTATGTACGTGTGAATGGCTTCCGTGAATTTAGATGCAATTGGGAAGGCCAAGAATGTCCTCATTCCTTTCCCAGGTGATTTCTTGTTATGATGTTATCAGTATTTTTTTTTCGTTTTACTTCTTTCAAACTACCCCTACTTCGTCTGAAAATCCCAGTGCTGTGGAATTTCCTACCACCGTAGCCGAAGAATTTTAAACCAATTTATGAAGATTTTTCAAATACTGTACAGTACCACAAAAGATAAAAGTTTTTAAAAGCTCAGAAGAAGTGTTCAATTGTTCTTCAATAGCTTTTCATTCATGTTTTCATCAATTGTTCGATGTCATTCCGACTGCTTGAAAGAAGCTTGAATGATCGAAAATTAAATTTCTTTCCAACTGCAATGCATGAAAACTATGAATGATACGAAGTTTTACGTTTTGGTCGCAGAAATATGATAACTTCATGTGTTTTCGAATGGGTCCATTTCTTCATTTTGTATATTGTGCTGAATACTCCGACCATTTGAAATTCTGACTCCAAAACTTGACGCAACTCCGGGGTCTCGATTTCCGCAAAAATTTGAAGTAAGAACGGAGACGCGAAATCAGACTTGAGGTGCTGAGCCGAATTTTAATATTTTAAAATTCAACATGCTTGGAGTGAATGAATGTATTAGTCAATTAAGAATTCCTGTAAATTGTCGACCAGCATGTTAAAAGTTACCTGAATATCAGAATTTGAAGGGGTGAATCACCCTGTACTCGAATGGCTCTTCATCGATTAAAGATACCGCTTGTCTCTATTCAGGAAGATAACGACTCATTTTCTCTCCCTTTCCAACTCAGCATGACGAGATATGACGAAAACGAGAGATTTGCTTTCTTTGACGAACCCGGATTAGAAGATGACGAGCCTCAAGAATCATCCTCTCATGGATTGTCTTTTCCTGGTTCTGTTCCGGATATCAAATCGGGGAAAGACGCCTGGGAATCTTTGTTCGGGCCTCGGAAAAAGAAAAATACCGCAGCTGAACGTGAATCTGAAGCATGTGAGCTTTGGTTTCGATATTTCTTGTTTATATTGGGATATTCAATCAGTGGATTTTTTTTAACGGGAAATGCATATAGGCTTTAAAAACAGGAGCGAGTACTTGATTTTATGAATTCATGTTCAAAAACAGGTACAGTATGTTCTCGAACGTTCCTGTGTTTTACTTCGTTTTCATTCCTCAAGGTTACGTTGATTTTCAAATGGAAAAAAATGGATGTGTCTCGAGCGTTCTAAGGATACGGGAGTATTTTGTTGACGTCGTTGATACTTATTGAAAGATTATCCCGAATGTTGTTCTATTCCTCGTGTTAAAGCGGGAATTTTTTAGGATCTCAGATTTTCGATTGTGTTGCGGAAGAAGAAAGAATTATTTCTGATGCTACTGTGTACTAGACCTGCGATTTTTATTGAAGTAAAGAATTAAAAACTCTTTATTGAATTTATGTTGTGTTATTTTCACGTATTGAGACAAAAAAAGAAAGGCTTTGTTGTCATGTGTTTTAATCCTGCTTTTTTTGCATTCTGAAGCTCCGTTTAAAGGCTAAAGCTGCGATCCATTTTAATTTATTTCTTTGAATTCTTAAGCGTAATTTCAAGACTGAAGCTACGATCGTATCTTTTTTTTATTTTTTAAAAATTCCATCCCTCTTTTTTTTAAATTTCAGGTGTTACGAAAGCGACAAAAAATTATTCTCTATGTTTGAATGCTGCTACATCAACAGCGGAATATTTGATTGCTCATCCGTTTCTCGTGATCAGGCGACAATGTCAAGTAAACTCGGAATCTGTGAGGTCAGTGGTTTTATTCCGTTTACAGTTTTGAATAATCTTCAAATTGTTCTTGCCTTCGATATTTTTGACTTCTCGTAGTTGAGGGATTATGTCTAAATTTCTAGATTTTCTAGTCGAACTTTTAAAAAATCTTGAACATCATGTTCATAATTTACTGGATTTTTTTACGTTGAATCGGAAATCGTCTTGAATGGAATTTTAGTCGTTGAAATTTTTGAAAAGTCGAAAATTAGGCTTTTATTTTTTAAAATTAACTTTGTAACCAAAGGTTCGAGGGAAATTTCTGGATTGAGTTCTGTTTATGTCTGTGAAATTTAGGAATATTCTGTTTGTTTTAAGCGTTTAAACTTCCCTTCGAAAAATGAGAACGACATTCTTCAACTGTGTTGAAAACGCTCATTTGTTGTAATTTTTTCTATTTATGCAGTATTTTCATGTCTCACCAATGGATCAGTTTTCATCTTAATTTTCTGAACTTATTGCGTATGCTCATGAGAAACCGATATTGTTATCGCAGGTTTCACTTGTCGCCCTTGTCAACAATCGGAGTCGTCTACCGACTGGCCAAAGCTCAAGGGATATTTGCCCTGAGCAAAGGCTTCACGTCAGTTCTTCTCGTCAAGGGAATTTCCGTGTGGACGGAGGACTGTTTGAATCGTGTTACGCCATGGTCTTCGTGAGTTGTTGTCCTTTGTTGGTGTTGAAAAAAATCAGAGACTGGATCCGATTTTGTTCGAAATTTAGCAACGAGTTGAGTGAAGATGTTTAATGTTCCTCATGATTCAGACTTGACCTTACAATTTAGGTGGTACAGTATTTTTCGAAAGCGGAAGTTTGATTTTTTTTAAATTTAGAATGTAGCTCTGTGACGCTGGAATTAGATTTTTATGTTGATGTCGTGCTTTTGTTCTAGTTGACGATTTAAATATTTTCTGAATGAATCGACTGGACATATTTTTGGGCTTATTTCCGAACATAAGTTCTTCAATTATTTTGAAAATGATGAATATTGTTGACCTTATTTCTGGTACAAACGAGTAAAAGCCATTAATTTTACATGCGATTAGTTACCGAAGTTCTCAAATGGAAAATATAATTACAGTACAGTATTATTAGAGTTGACGACAATTTTTAAATTTTATTAAAATTGAAGTTGAATTTAATCTGAATGAGGCTTGACCGGAAATATTGTTGGGCCAACAGTATTTTCAAACGAAAGTCTTATTGTAATTTTTTCAGAAACGACGAATATTTCAAAGCTCACGTGGATGTAAATTTTTATTTCATCTGTCAGCATTTTCAGAAGTTGACCATCGGTTGTCTTTTTAAGTGACGGTTTATTTGACACCTGATCATTTTTCGCATAGTGAGGGCGTGGGAATATTGAACGATAGAAGTGATCTATCTAATGTTCAATCGCTTCGAATTTTCATTTGAAGTGATGGATGACACAGAAAATAGCAATGTTCCTAAAATCCTTTGCGAAAAGAAACTTGATACAGTATGGCGATAATAGGATTAGTCGTCGCGGCAGAGAGAAAGAAATACATGGCGGTTCACGCGAGTTGTCATGAAACATTGTAAATATTCCGAAGAGATATATAAACATACATTCGGGATTAAAGGAAGATGAGACCGTGAAATAAGGGAGGCAATTCTTTCCTCATCTCAATGTGAGTTTTAAGTGCTTGGGAAAAGTGCGAATTTGTTGGCCGTGTTTTAGGCGAAATCCAGTATTGAATTATTAGGAACGTAAGCAGACAATGGAGACAGGATTTGAAGTGCTACCATTCAATTTTTTCTCATTTTCTCAAACAATAATCTTTCTGGGGATTCCACAAATTTCCTTCGTTTTCTGAGTACTTGCGACGAGTGTTCGTCACAAAAAGGCAGAACAAATTACCCAGTTATTTTCAGTGTCAAAAACATTTGTCGGACTCATGTCAAGGCTTTCAAAGTGATTTCAGTATACATGATGAAATTTCCCTGAAATATTCACGTTGTTGACGGCATAGTTTCGCATGAATCGCCCTGTGTAAGACTCATTTGCGGTTATTTCTAAAATTGTGGAGGGAATCGCTAGGAAACAGCAGTTGATTGAAAATCGGAAATCGATTCTGCTGATGAATGAAATCATCTCAGCGGATCTTTCCTTGCTTATTGAAAATAAACAGTTATTCCTGGTGGAACAATATTCGTTTAATCTGCGACAGGAATGTGACTCTGGTTCGCTGTTCAATTTCCATTTTGATTAACGAAGTTTTTCATTTTTCTTCTTTGGCTTCCTGACCATAGGACGTTTCCGAAAAGCTTCTCCTTGGTGGACACGGTTGGGCATTTGAGTCTGAAGTGTGGCGGACTCGTGGCGGCGGCGCCGTTTCAAGCGGCTTCGTTGGTGGAAACTGTTCAGAGTGACATTGCTTCCGAATTACCCGGATTCCTGGATGTCCTTATAGAAGGGGCATATCGGTTGACTTGTTGGAATTTTCCCCAGTCAGGTAAACGCAATTGTTTTATTCAATGAATGAGTAGTTCCCGATGCGAAATTGTCATTTCTTTTGTTCGTGAAATTTAATTTTGCGAAAATGTTTCTCTGTTTTAAAGTACAGAGTTCAACCCCTTGATTGATCACGAGTGAAATCTCGTTAAAATGAGCTCGGAGGGACCTGTGGGGGAAAAAAACTGTAATGATCAGGTTGATGATTTTCAGAGCATTTATGACTGACATTTCGTGAGAAGCATGGAAAATGCTTTCAAGTGTTTCCACAACAGATATGTGAAGACTTGTCCTCATTTCCAACCGTTTTTGATGACCTTTGAAGGTATAGGTAAAAAATGTTGAGTGTAATTCTCTTTTTTTTACCACGTTTTTATGAACTCACTTTCTTGTCTGTCTGTTTGTCCGGATCAAATTTTGAAACTCAAATTTCACTCACTTCCAGACTAGCTATCAAGCTGAAACTTTCAGGATAGCCTAGAAACTGATGACAATGCAATCTTTTGTGAAAAAATTAATTTGAAGAATATTTTTTAAAAAGAATAAAATAATTATAGTAGATTTCTATAATAAAACTTTGAGCAGGTTTTCCTTGGCCCCAAGAAAAAAACCCATGGTGAACTGAATTGGTCGCAGAGGTCCGAGTTCAATCCCACCCCCTGGAACATTTTTTTCTGATTAATTATTAACTCACTTTCTTGTCTGTTTGTTTGTCCGGATCAAATTTTGAAACTCAAATTTCACTCACTTCCCGACTAGCTATCAAGCTGAAACTTTCAGGATAGCCTAGAAACTGATGACAATGCAATCTTTTGTGAAAAAATTAATTTTAAGAATATTTTTTAAAAAGAATAAAATAATTATAGTAGATTTCTATAATAAAACTTTGAGCAGGTTTTCCTTGGCCCCAAGAAAAAAACCCATGGTGAACTGAATTGGTCGCAGAGGTCCGAGTTCAATCCCACCCCCTGGAACATTTTTTTTTCTAATTAATTAACACGTTTTTATTAACTCACTTTCTTGTCTGTTTGTTTGTCCGGATCAAATTTTGAAACTCAAATTTCACTCACTTCCCGACTAGCTATCAAGCTGAAACTTTCAGGATAGCCTAGAAACTGATGACAATGCAATCTTTTGTGAAAAAATTAATTTTAAGAATATTTTTTAAAAAGAATAAAATAATTATAGTAGATTAAAAAATTAATCTAAAAAACCACGTTTTCAAAAAGCAAAAAATAACCTTAAACGTGGTGTGCATGGAGATTGTTGGGAAGAAGTGAAATACAAATGAAATAGATGCGCACCACGTTTAAGGTTATTTTTTGCTTTTTGAAAACGTGGTTTTTTAGATTAATTTTTTAATCTACTATAATTATTATGTTCCGTACTGTCAGAACGTTCGATTTTTGCTAATTGGTTGTGTAAGTATAAATTTATTATTCTGAACCGTAATGCGCTTGAGGTAAGAAAGAAACCTGACACAATGATCGCAATGACGAAATTCATAATAGGCCTTTTTCATGTACAGTATTTTCAATATGCGTGATCATGTCTGTCTGGGGATACTTTTCCCCAAAATTCTGGAGTTTTTTTTTTTAAATAATGATCCAGAACGAATTTAAATGATCTATCAGTGAAACAGGAAGGGCTTGAGTATAATCTCAGTTGCTATTACCATGAGGGTGGGAACTTGTCCCAGGAATATTCAAAGCTTTTTCGCATGGAGATTATTTTTTCAACGTTGATTTGTCAAACTTATTCCCAACAGCACAACCCTTTCAAATACTGTACCAGCATCTCACCTGAAATCTATTGTTTTTCTTGTCATGAGATTTTAAAATTATTCTTTTGCAAGTTTTATCCTTTGTGCTTGTGTGCTGAATAGAAAACCATGAACAACTGAAAACGGAGGTTGAGGAGGTGAAGCGAGAAAAATATTGTTCGTAATCTGAAAAGATTTTTCTGAGGAATTGAAATTCCCTTGGAACTTGTATTAACGAACCCTTGTCGATTTTTTAATACATGTACTTGGTATTCTTCTCAAGTAAATCGAAGTTTTGTAAGTTACGGATGCTTCTGTGAAATTTTGCGAGAATATTCCAACATTTTTCTGCCTGGAAAATATTTCAAGCTTTGGAATTCCCCTGCAACTTCTTGTTGAAACAAAGTTGGAAAGGGAATCTTGTGGCGCGGGAAATTTCTCGGAGTGAAGAAATTTATGAATAATTTCTTCGTGTTTCCTGGGAAAAGCCTCGTATTTTTAAAAATCTTTTGTATGCGATAAAAAGAAGTGTATCAAGTGCATTGTATTGTTTCCCTTCAGGTCGACTCTTGCCGATATGGGCAGTTGTGCCTGCGTCAGTCGTCGAAGGCGTTGCCCGATATTCGCTGACCGAGTTGCTATTCCGCATGCTGTCTTTCGGCGATGAATTACTGCATCCCAAGAAATACTTTCAAGAAAAACGGTGGGATTCGCAGGGTGTGGAGGTGGAGCCGTCGGTTGCAGAACGGATATCGTGGGCCACGAAAGATCTGCACAACACATCCGTTTTTAGGCTGTGGGCCGCTTTTCTTGCCCATGTTTTGACCTATCCGCTGGAAACGGTCTTGAATAGGTTTGTTTTCTTTTTGTCACGTTTTACGACAGTTATAAGGGACTAATATACTGAGACAGACTAAGACACTGAAGGGGAATTTTAAAATGTGAGTTGAACACTGCCGTGTCTGCGATTGGGCTACCGGTCAAGAAATAAGATGAAAAACTGTTCGAAAATTCGTTTTAGGGATGAGGAATGGCTTTATTCAATATATTTGAGTAATTTTTCGATTTAATTACTGTAGGGTTTTGAAAGTAAGAATATACTGTATACTGGAAAAATTTTCAACTTCAAGATTTCAGTACTAAATTTTATCCACGTTCGGTTGTTTTTTGTATTTCGAAAAAATGTCTGGGATGAAATGGCTCAAAAATTGTTATTCTGGGTAGATTTTTCTTGATAAAATGAATAGAGATTATAGTGAAGTTCTTGATTCAAAAGCTTCTTAATCGGGAACTCAGCTTCAATTTTTTCGTGCCTGGATTTTGAACATAGAAAGTTGTGTGAAATTTACACGACAGAAGTTTAACACTGATTCGTGCGATATCTACACGAAAGAAAGTGGCATCGTGGGGACCAATTACCATGATGTGTAAAACAAAAGAATACTAAAACTTCAGGGCATTTCACCTGTTCATGCGTTGTTCAGGCCATAAAATATTCAAAGCTGGGTTAATCCCACAGGTTGCTGCTTCAAGGAACCCGAACAATCATCGACGATTTGGACTCGAATGGCACGTCAGTAATCGCAGTGCTGTCGGGTTACAGCGGGTTCCGGGATTGCGTCCGAACAATGATGGTGGAAGAGGGGTTTCGTGGGTTCTACAAGGGCGTGGGCACGCTTTTTTGGACGTATTTGGCCCAGTTTGCTCTCCTTCGGGTAGCGGATTTGGTTTTAGTGCAATACTTTTCTTACTCTTCCCCGGCTGACGACATTCTGTCGAGAACCCAGTCGTCGCCTGTTAGTCCCGCGTTGCCTTCCGACGAATGGAACCGAATGCCTCCGAGAGCGGATTCTCGTTGATTGGTTATTATTATTATTTTTTCTTGTGATGATTAATACTTTTCCAGTGTTCCCAACCCTACAGGTTTTTTAGTGATTTTTGTTGAATAAGTAGTGATTTTCATCCGACAGAGATCGATTTTGCGAGGTGGACGATGAATCATCATGAAATGGAAAATTGAAAACCAGGCCACATAACGCCTGTCTCTTCGATGGACTGAAAATTATTTATTCACCGCTTTGCAAACTCTATCTTCGTTTGGTTAACATCACTTGTTACTCAACAGATGTGATTCGGTTTTTTTGGCGACTGGTGTAAGTGCGTGGTAATGTTAATTCGCCTCGCCCTGCGCCCAGTGAAATTTGAAACATCGTATGGAACAACTCCGACTGAGCACCGACTAAAGAGAATTCACGTGGTTGAATTGAGCTGTCTTTCGAGATGTCAGGCACCTATAAATTATTTAATGAACAATTCTCATTGGATTGAGTGGCAGCAATTGTTATTTTCTCATCCGGCTAATGACATTTTACGAAAACATGTGAGCTGAAATATTCACGCTTCTAAGGATTCAGTAACTCGTACATTTTCCTTTCTTACTTCATTTGAACTTGCAGATCTTCCAGTTCATGCATTTTCTGTCGCATGGTGCAATTATGTGATGAAAAGCACTTGCAGGAAGGAAAGCCATTGTATATTCAAGATTGTTATTAAAATCGTGAATTAATAAGATGCCGTGCTCAATTTTTTTCGCGTGAGGTTCTTTCTTTAGTGTGGATGAGAATTTGTTTCTAGTCGTGGTTTGCCTTTTTTTTTGGCTTCGAGGCGTAAGAGCGGCTACAGTCTGTCGTAGTCGGATGAATTTGGAAGAAATCGTTCCTGTGCCAACAGTGATGAATTTTATTCTAGTTCCAGAGTCCTGTGGGTTAAGATTTATCCGAAATTAATGCCCACGTTTCCTACGACTTTAGGTGACGGGTTGTAAAATGTCGAGTGATTATTTTAGTCCTTGAGATAAGAAACTAAAAAAAATAAGATGGCTGAGGCTGCGGAAGTTTTGGAACCCGACGAGGAAGAAGATCATCACCCTGTCAATCTTGTCAATGGTACTGGCTCAAAGGATTGCAGTGATTCGTCGGATGGGCTCGACGCTGAAGTGTTCATGGACCGAACGGAGTTCGAAGCCTTGGAGAACTTTCATTCCATGGTGCTTCATTCTTCTGCAGAAGATGACGATGACCCGAGCAGGTCATCTGATGTCAAGCTGGAGCTTGAGCTGGCGGAGACTGAATTGGCCGAAGCGAGAGAGGAAGTTACCAAGTGAGTAGGCTTTTTTTCATAAATGTGATGTGCCAAACAAAAGTTTTTGAATCGGTCAACTAATGTAAGGGGAATGCGTTTGATTTGACTTTTTTCTAAAGTCATATTCTTTTTATGATTTTTTGGATGAGTAGAGATTACCTGTGTCCCCAACTCCGTGACTTCCTGCGTTGTTTGATAGGTGTCGCCCCACGTTACGGAATTTTCTCTTGTTGATTGTTTCGCTGATCGAGATTAATTTGGTTTGATTATACAGTATTTTAGTACAGTATTTATACAGTAAAAAGTCAGATTATTGATTCAGGCGAAAACTCCCTGACATGTATGATAAAAGACAAATTAAATAGAAATGAATTTACTGAATGTTAGGTGATGAACGTTTTTTGTGATGCGTCATTCTTGAATGTGATTCGATATTATTCTTTAGTGTCGCTGAATGATTACAGAATATATTTGTGTAACTGAAAATGTCATCCCTTGACAGAGCAAGAACGCGGATAACAGAACTGGAAGAGCTGTTGAGAATTCAGGAATCAATAACCCGAGATGAGGAAAGTAAGCGTCAGTCTGCTACAATAGCTGAAAAACGGGCAGAAGAAATCAGTGCTCAGCTTTCCGAACGCTTAACCATGAAGGATGCAGAGTTGTATTCCTTTCGAAAAGATACGGACGAAAGAATCACTAAGGTTTGCATCAATTTGCTCAGGTTCTTTTCTTTCTTTTCACGTTATAAACAGTTTTTGTTGAATGTCAGGCAGGTTTCGCTCAAATTTTAACCTTGAAAATGTCTCGTAACCCAGCGTATTACCACATAACTCAAGTTACATCCTTACATGCTGAACTGTAGCTGAAATTATGTCTTATAAAACCTAACTAGATATTTGCAACACGTTCGTGAAAGAAACGGATTACTGATTTACGCACATGTGGCATTACTGTGAATTTGATTGATCCGGAAATTGCAAGAATTCCTTGCTTGAGATACTCCTTGAATTTTTAAATAAAATATTTTCTATTTTAGAATCAGCAAAATTATCACTAACTGTCACAAGCAACTCTAATTCCATGCGTATGGAAAATTTGTAATTCTGAATATTATTTGTATGAAGAAATGGGATATATTTTCATCAAATACTGTAATTTTATTTTACTTAATATTCTACTTGGAAAGAAAAAGAATAGCAGAGAGCACTGTATACCGGGATTCATTTTGTGAAGTTTTTTCCTCTCTATGAATGGCCCGAGAAGAAAATATTTTCTGAATTGGATCAGTGATAACTTCCATTATTCACAGCTAAATCAACAAGTTTCGTCGGCTGTGAAAGACAAGGAAGCTATGGTGATGAGATACGCGCAGAGCGAGAAAGAAGTGATAATTGTGAAGCGGGACAAAGAAAACCTGGAGCGAAAGCTCAACGATATGAACAAAGAAAAGGAGAACTTGCTTGCCAAGTTGAAAAATATGTCGAACGACAAGGCGAAACTCGCCCAGAGTCTCGACACAAAAGTAAGTTTCGCTTGAAATGTCAATGCACTCCTAAATTTCACTGTTGCTTTTTTGATCCCAGACCTCAGAAGTGTTCCAAATGGTGAAAGAAGCCGAGCGGTTGAAAGAGGAGATCGTGAGCCGAGATGTGAAGATCAAGTGGGGGCAGAACAAGCTGAAATCTGAAATGGACGCGCATCAGGTACAGTATATTTTTCTACAATAATGTACTGCTGTACCCCAATTAATGAAAGACTTGTATGATACATTTTTTAAGGCATTAAAAAGGATTTGGGTTGTCATACATTTTTGACGTTGACAATCGACCCTGTGAACGAGATCATCAAAGAAGCAAAATGCCGATCAGTGATTGTATTCAAGAAAAAATTATCTAAATCTGTAATTTTAAATGTAGTACGTTAGAAAGGAAGAAGGAAATTATTTTTTGTTGAGTCAGCATTTTTCAGTTTTGTGTACCGGCCAGCATTGGTAATAACGTGGTGTCAAACTGATGCCGATTAAGAAAACCTCATCATACTGGCCTGGCACTTTGCTGCTGTTGCTGAAAAAGATTCTGCGTAAAGTAATCCGTGATTTGTTGAGTTCTTGCTTGAAAAAGTAAATCCATGACTTGGAAAGGTTTGTTATGGAGGAAGTTTGTTGTGTTAATTATGATTTCCCCGAAAAAAAAACCAATTTAAAAATATTGCATTCGTTCCAGACAAGAAAGTGTATCTGAAAAACAATTTCATGTTTTAACTCGAGCATAACCTACTTTATATTATTATTTAGTAAGTGAATAATCTTTTTGTAGGAAACAAAGTTGCAGCTAGAAAAAAGCTACCGCCAACTGCAGGACCTTCGGGACGAAGCGAACCAGGTTCGTGTGGATTGCCAGAACCTGTTGAAATCATACCACGACGAAGGCTCAGCCAAACCCGCTTCCCAAGATGAAGATATCAAACAAATCCAAGAGCTTCACGACCTTAAGGGCAAACACGCCAGTGCAATAGACGAGAATCTTTCCCTGTCCCAGAAAATACAAAAGCTAGAAACGGAGCGTCTCGACCACGAACAAAGCGTTGCGCAGCTCAAAGATTCCATCAACCAACTGCGAAAAGAAGCTGTGCAGTCCCGCAAAAACGCCCAAGAGCTCGAACACGTTCGCAATGAGTTAATTCGGGAACAAAATCACCGAATATCGGCGGAAACGGAAGTGCTGGAGCTCAAGGCGGCGAATGACGAGGTCATTCACGACATGTCGCTGTGTCGACAAAAGGAAGCTGAATTGTTGGAATTCAGTGCTACGCTTACTGAGAAGAACGTCGTTCTGCAATCGAATCTCCGGTGCGTGGAGGCCAAGCTAGAGTTCAATGAAACTGAAATCACTAACCTTCGGCGGCGGTTGACCGAAGTGGAGAGTGAGAATGCCTCTTTGAATTCCCGATTGAGTGAATTGTCTATCGAGTGCGAGTCCCAAAGGATCGCCTTGGAGCAGGCAACTGCAAACGCGGCTGTGACTTCCCGAGATCTCGAAACCAGAGCTCTTGAACTCGAAGACGAAATTCGAGTTCTCAAAAAGCGCCATGCTGCAGGCACGAAGGCTCTCACCAAAGAGCTCCAATCCTTGTCCAAAAAAATGGCCCAGGAGAAGCCTCCTGCTCCTCCCGAAGTCGTTGTGGGCCACTCCAAGAAAAAGAAGGACATTGTTGAGGAAGTGGTTGAAGAGAAACCCGTGGTTGGGTTATTACCTAGTCAGGAGATGCTGGTTGAGAAGATTGTGAGGTTGCAGCAGGTGCTTGCGAGGAGGAAAGAGAAAATGGAAGTCCTTGAAGAACACCGGCGACACCTGGTTCGTGAGTTGCGAAAGAAAACCGCGATTATTCAGCATTATGTGCTGAAGGACGGGGACAACCACCAGGCCATTGTGCCTGAGAACAGTGATCGTCATAAGGTGAGATTTTTATATTCATTTGAATTATAATCATTGAAAAACCACAGCATGCCTTTTAGGGTGCTTGGGGGACATCGAAATAAATTGTTAAATTCGTTGTGAAAAGAAAGATTCTTTGCAAAACAGCTGCTTTTTAAAAGAATAAATTAATAACATCATCAACTCGTCTAGAAGTAAATATTACTATGTCATGAAATATGAATGTGTGTGTAATATTTCAACTTGATGGGAATATTGGGAATAGAAAATTTTGTATAAATTGGAAACATCATTAAGTGGTACTTTTGTCATGGATTATGGAAATGTATTCAGTATTTCATCTTGATGGGAAAATAGCGAATGGAAAAACGAAGGTGTGAGATATTGTTTACCTAATGGAAATTTGTGGTGTCGTCAGCTAGATGTCAGTCTTAAGCAGGTGTATCCTCTAGTTTCTCAGGTACACGTAGATAAATGGCTGGTTTTCATCTTCTACGCCTTTTTTTTTTTTTTACTTTTGTAGTGTGTACTGTAGTATAGGAGTAGTACACATTATTACTGTACTATTTTTCTGGTGATTGATATGCGTAACGTACAATCTTTTCTCATTGAGGCTGCCATGATGAGGGATGAATTGACAAAAATGAAAGAGGTAACTATGAATGCTTCTGAGGGTTTTTATTCAATGAATAACAGTTTTTCACAATTTCAGGCGCAGATGGCGCGTTATGGAGGAATCATGGCCTCTGTCTACAGTTCCAGAGCTTCTGATGGCAGTATGACATTGGAATTATCCCTGGAGATAAACCGGAAGCTTCAGGCAATTCTGGAAGATACCCTTTTGAAGAATATTACTTTGAAGGTACCTTTTGAATACCGCATCGCATATTTTGATAAATGCTGTCGTGTTTTCGCAAATACTGTACTTCAATTCCATCTGGAACTTCTTTATGTTTTTTCTATATCGTAACAATCTTCTGTTTTTGAACAGCGAATTCTGTCTTGATCTCAGATTTCATTGGAAAAGTTCGATTATAAACATCAAAAATTAAATGATGATGGAAGTTTGTGGAAAATCGTTTTAGAGAAAATTTCATTCTAGAGAGCCCTTATAACATAGGGAGAGAACCGTATTGGACAAAAAAAAAATTCGATGTAGAAAGAGCCCACCTGGATACTGAAGTTTTACGTGAAGGGCTTGAAATTTGTTGCTTTTTTTCGAAGGAAAACCTGAACACGCTGGGGGATGAAATCGCCCGGTTAACTCAGCAACACCAGAAAAAGCAGAAGTTTTTGGAAACGCGGATAAAAGACCTCGAGAACGGGTGCAAAAATTCAGCAGACTGAACTGACTCATGAGCGAAATCATTCATTCCTGAAATTCCAGCAGCTACAACAGAGGAGAACAACCCATCAATTGATCGGCGGGGTCAACCAATATTGCCACTTCCAGTTGAATGTCATCCGGCAGCTGATTTCTCGTTTTTCCGTGTTTCTACCTCTTTTTTTTTCATTGAAAGTGAGGATTTTTGAGCCCGGTTTGATTTTTTTTGGCCGCTCTTGTTCAATGGACAAATTGCTGCGATTTTGGGTTACTTCGAGATTATTTCTTTTTTTTTGTTGACGGAAGCCAGTGAGTTTTTGCCTTTTTTCGTGACGCGTTATCGGAATTCGATGTGGTGATTTGGATTATTTGAAGAATGGATGGGAGGTGATTTTTTGCGTGATGCGTTTTATTCGAGTTTTACTCACATGGCTGTCCTTTGTGTTTTTGCATGGCTTGAAATCAACTGCTTTTTGCTTCCCGTGTTTCCACAGATCCGCTTGTGCCGAATTTCCATGCATGCTCCGCGTTTCCACCACAAATTTTAGCCGTGAAATAATTTTCAGATCTTTTTTTTCTCGTTTAAGCAAGCAAGTATGAGTTTTGTTTTGTATGCTTCAGCTTTCATGGGCTTCTTTTTTTGTTGTTGGATTGTGATTAACGTCAGTTTTATTTACTAACATTTTGACAAATCCCTGACAGAATGCTTCAATTTTTGATCACTGGGGTTTGGTATGAAGACGAGACGAAGTGGATGCCTGTAAATTAATTCTTCCAGACTTCAAATCTTGTGATAGGTCGGACTAGTTCAGAGGATTCTAGCTTCAAAGCGCGAGAACCAGAAAGGCTTCATTTCTAGGTACTGAAAAAACTTTCCATTCCCCCCATACCTGTTTGATCGGGTAATTTTTTCAGTGGTCCAGACTCGGGTTCTAGATTTATCAACTTTATACTATTTTCGAAGCGTGGAAAAGGTAAATGTGTAAAACCCTTAAAATCAGCAAGAATTCGATGCTTGAAAATCTCATGGTTTTACAGCTATTAATTATTCGTTGTTTTTTGGGCTTTTGGGAAAGCCATCAAAATATGCAAGAAAGTAATCCTAAGGGAATTTTTCAGGCCAAACTTCATTGCACATTAAGTGATGTTTTGTTTTGGAGGAATTTTTTTTTTAGTTCCTTGTTTTAGATTCTTCTCCGGCAGGTTAAAAAAAAACTATTTTGTGTCTTCGTCATGCGTTTTGTGATGCGTTGAGTGATTTCAAGCCTGTTCTGCTTCAGGACAATCTTGTCGACGTGCGTCTTATTCTCGGAAAAGCTCCGCAATATCCTCGGTGAGTTTGATGATTTCATCGTGATTAGCAGTTCTGTAAGCGTGTGTTTCCCATATCTCTGTGTTCTATTTTCAACTTTCCTCACATTCCTTCGCGCATATACTTGGAAGTGGCACTGCGGAAGCGTACAGAGAAAATTCGTAGTTTTCTGGTACAGTACAGTCCTTCACACAGGTTGTTTTTCTCTCTATCTTGGTTCACGTCATTTTTGAATACAGTGCAGTATTTCGAAATTTTCTGTGTGCGAATTGATTCGAGTTGAGTGTCAGTGTCCGACGCTTGAAAATTTATCTTTCACCGTTCTCTTCTCCACGGAGAATATTTGGAGTAATTTAAGTGTGACGTAATCAACGAATAGTACGCGTACCTCTGGTGGTACGCGAGAATTTCTGGTGAATACGTTTTGTAGGGGTTTCAAAGGTTGGTTAATTAATTAATATACTCTAGTAAAGCGGATGACGTGAAGAACATAATTGAAATTAAGTGATTAATAAGAATGAATACAAAGCGATCCTTTTGGAAAGTTAATTAAAGGTCTGTCCGAATAAATGCATATGTGAATTCTTAAGTTTATGTTCCATATGACATTTGAAATGAGCTTAAACTAATCTCCATTTCAGGTAAATCCGAGTGTATGTGGTACAGTACCTAGTGAGCGTTATACATAAATTGTCATGTTTTGTCTATTGATACTATGTACATTTTACTTCTCCGTGGCCTTAATCTCCGTCTAAAACATTTCATATATTGTGCTTAAAAGAGAGCTGTTAAACCTAATTGAACAAATGAATAATCCACTACTACACACATGTGTGATGTTTTGATGGTATGTGTCATTTAAAACTTATGACATTATGACTACAGAACAGAACTTATGACTACAGAAACGATCTTAGTACTGGAAGGAAAATTCGACAGTTCATGGTAGCAATGTTGGCCTTGAAATTCGGTACTGCACTGTACCAGTGTACATTACCTCACATGCATTCCTACCCAAGCGATTTCTAGGTCGTGCTCTGCTGGACATGCGACGTTCCGTACTGCGTGATTTTATTTGCTCTGAAGTAGGTGTCGCCTGAATCGGAAGAAAATGTTCTCCCTTCATTTTATAAAACATGTTTTCAGCTTTCTTTGAATTTTTTTTTTTACCAAGGACAGTAATTATTCATGCTGTAGTCTTTTTATACACTGTGTATTCTATCTTCAGCTCTAGTTCATTGACCAAAAAAAATGCATCATGCTTGGTGTCCATTATACGAATTAATGATGTACAATTCACAGTACTGTATATGCAAGTGGAAATACCTGTATTGGCAAAGAGCCAGTCTGTTTCATTTGTTGTAGGGTTTTAAAAGATACATCTTATCAAAACCATGTTGCCTTGTATCAGGTGCTTTTCTTTCTGTCCTTATTTTCTCCCTTATATCATTGAAATTAAATTTTTTGGAAATATTTTCAGATTGATGCATTCATTGAATCTGTTTTATCCATTTTCAGTGACATTTTATTTTTAAATTAGATTGTTTATGTTTAAAAAATTGAGAAAATGGAGGAATTCCGATGATGACTGCAATGAAAACTTCTGAAGATTTGACCGAAATTAATTTTTCTCTACTCACTCTGGAAAATCTTTGATAGCGTATTTTAACCATTCTTTCTGAGGTATTCCTGTTGGGACATTTGGCAAATTATTTATGCCGTAATTAACCATTGGTTGTGGCGGAATTTCACCTGTACAGTTGGGTCCTGAAGTATGGATTTTGGTACAATAATTACTTCTCAGACTGTTTTCATTTGTTAGAACATCTGAATGCCGGGTCACTTTTTTTGAAAGACTTCAATTGGAGTAATTGAAATAACTTCTGGGTTCTGGCATTCGGCAAACGATTGAAAAGTCCTCAAATTTTTAATGAAAATATTTTTTCTGACTCTTGATGCACAGGAAGTACTGCATTCAAAGGATGCGTACAGAATTAACCCTTATGGTTGGGAAATGCGTCCAAAAGCCAAGAAACAAAAGCGTACAATATTGCTATGCCGTGCTCAGTTGATGATAGAAGATAGAATTTAAGATAGAAGCAAACACTTAGCCTCTTATAGGAAATGAATTAGAGTAAATGCATAATGGTGTTTGTCATGACTGTATGTCCATGTCAGAGGCTTGATTTGATCGGTTTTGTAAATGCACAACTTTCAAAAATGAAATATTTTCGTATTTTCTGGAAATGCATGCCAAGTGTTCGTATCTCAAGACGTTTTCCCCGATGTCAAGGCAGATTGTTTTTGAGTTTAAAATTCCATTAAGTCGCATAATCCGAATTTTTTTTCGGGCGCACTACTGCGTACAGGTACACTCTCTTAACGACAATTCTTGTCTTAAAAAAAATTCTCTGTACAACGAATTTTTATTTGGCTCCTTTGGGTTCTCTCCCCGTGTTATTCTGGTTCTCCACAACGGAATTCTCTCTACGACGCAGAGAACTAGTCCACCTGTACGATGCATTTAATTGAAGGAATACACGTTTCGGGACTGGCGGGAGAAATGGACCCATTTCCGAATTCCCTCCCGGAACATCCCAACATTTCACTTGTGTCTTACACCTCATCATCATTACACATTCTCTTGGCCGCCTAGTTGCCCGGGTCACTCTGTCCGTTTCCACCATGGCCAGGAGAGAGAGTTTCATCCTTGACACGCGGTCACTGCGGGCACCAGAACCCGGCGACCGTGTCTGGACGCGAGGCCCAGACACACACACACACACACCACACACGAATTTGTTCTGTGATCCTGAAATAGACAGACAGACTAGGGAATGATGGATAAATAAATAAATGAAGAAGGGAGAAAAACAATAATAATGGAGGATTGAGAGAGAGAGGGATAGGTTTCCATTGTCCTTCCGAGTTTCATTCAGTTTTCCGGAAACCGCGTGTGGTGATGGAGGCTGGCTCACTCTCATTTGGAACCAGTCGGGAGTACCGAGACTCTCTCTAGAACGAAATTCTCTCTATAGTGAATATTTTGTGATCCCCTGAGTTTTATTTGTGGAGAACCACGTGTAACACGGGGAAGATAATTCTATATGGGACCGCAAAGCCTTTTGTTATGCAAAGAAAATCGTTGTAGGCGAGATTCTTTGTTGAGGATATTATGAAGTGTCTGTCAGCCAGTCTTGTGCTTCCCTCTCGTATGTTTTTTCAAAATTAAAGATTGCTTGGATGGATTTTTTACTGTCTTAATTATGGAGACAACACTTCATCCTTCCGTCAGAACACGAAGCGAGCATATAAAAATTTAATAACTAGTGCATCTTCCACCTTGCAAAATCTTTTCACTGTAAACTAGTAGATACTAGTGACGCCAATTCGGTTATTTTTGAACATGTGCTGGAAATGGCCGAGTGTTATAAGTGAACCTCATACGTGTGGAAACGTGGACGAAGTTTTCCCTCATTATTGTGTGATTTTAGTTTTTTCAAAATACAGATGAACTCTCTCTCTCTCTCTTTACAACGAAATTTAAGGTACAACATAAAAATGTGTTGTAGAGAGAATTTCGTTTTACGAGAATTCTGTGTAACATGAGGAAAGGAACCCTGGGATCACAAAAAATTCGTTGTACAGTAAAAAAAAAATCGTTCAAGACAAATTTTTTTTTTTATACACAGTATATATACAGCAGATAATACAGATAATATGCAGAATACATTTTTATTTATGCTGTATATTATGAAGAATCAGTCTTGAGCTTCCGTCGTGTATATTTTCAAAAAATTAAATACTGCGTGGATTGAGAAAAGAACGTAACCAAGACCATTTCTGTAAATCATGAAATGTCCGTCAAGTCAGTCTTGTGCTTAGCCCTGATTTATATATATTTTTTTTAATTCTGGATTGCATGGATGGAGGGAAGTTTTACAAAAGTGACATTTAATGATTTGTAGACGCCATTCGATTATTTTAAACCCGTAGGTTGAAATGGATACATGTCAGAGAGTTAGAATTAAACCGCTTCATTGTGAAAAAAGGAAAAAAAATCTGATTGAATGTAAGGAATGTAATTTTTAAAAATAATGTTGCATATCGTACTCAACAAACTACAATAAACATTTTTTCTGACTCATCATCTTCGAATTTAAAAACCGGCAGATTGTTTGAAGTGCACCACAGCATTTTTTAAATCCTTCAGTGATTTGAGTAATTCAGAATCAACATTTCAAAAACTCTGAAAGTGATTCACCCTTTCCTCACTTTTCCTGGATTGGAAAACAAATTTTTTCTTTTGAAAAAGAAAATCTTTGTAGAGATTCAGACTGGGATCATAAATTCAAGGCTTTTATTTATGCCTCTCGTCGCTCCAGTTTTTGTGTGGTGCATGTGTTACGTGTAAGAAGTCCGTGATTGATACTGTACTATCAAAACAATGACAGTGACTCTGCAATGTCTTGCTCTTGGCTCAAAAATTCCATATGACAATCATTGCTAAATATTTCGGAGATAAAGTGGGTCAGATTATAATAGATTTTTCTTTGACCCTGCAAGAAGATGCTGAATCTTAGAAACGTCACTAGATCCAAGCGTTTATGAAAATTCTGGCTTGAATCCAGCGATTATTTTCTTATAAAGGTGTACTCTTTCAACAACGAAATTCAAGGGACCAGAAAAAATCGTTGTAGAGAGATTTTTGTTGTAGAGAACCCCTATAACGTGGGAAGAGAAAGACCAAAAATAAATTCGTTGTACAGAGAACCTCGTTGTAGACAAGATTTTTGTAGTGATACTCCACCTATATTTAATGCTGATTCCTCCATCATAACGTGCAGAACTTGAAGTGGCCAAATATTTATGGTAGTTGATTGATGCGTGACTAGGGAAAATTACGGACACATGCTACTGAAAATCTGCAAAATCATGCTACGGAAAACTGCGGAATTTCGACCCGAAATCGCGTTACGTCAGGTCCAATTATCATTATTATCATTTTTATGGCCTGATTGCGAAGTAAAGAAGTAAAGTTCTTGTTGATTATCTCATTACTTATGCTACGGAAAACTGCGGAATTTCGACCCGAAATCGCGTTACGTCAGGTCCAATTATCATTATTATCATTTTTATGGCCTGATTGCGAAGTAAAGAAGTAAAGTTCTTGTTGATTATCTCATTACTGCTAGAAGGAGTACGAACAAATTATCGGATCAACGTTTCTCCTCTTCCTAGAGAACTTCGCAAAGTATTGTTTGAGTTAGGTATTACGCATTTAAGTTCTCTAATGTAGAAGTTTTCGCAGGGTTACCATCAGAAAGATGTGAGTGGTTTTTGTTGTTGAGGAAACTAAAATAATATTTTGGCAGAATCGTGAGAGTGCAGATTTGATACACTTATTCACGAACGATAAGAATACTTCACACGCATTTTCCGAGTGATATTTTCGGGATTGGAATAAATATTAACATGTCACTTGTTTTCGAATGGACTGTCACGAAATCTGCAGAGCTTCATCTTTTTTTTCTTAAAAATTTGAGAGTGCAAATGAAGAATTGAAGGTGTACGCATTCAGATTGTAATCGTGTTCTAAAAATTGAATATTTTCGCGAAAAATAACTCGGATGTTTGTTTTAGTAATTTCTGATTTTGAGTAGAACACACTCTCAAAAGTAGGGATTTACCTAGGAGTTTGCTTGCAAAATGGTTGTCACGCAACAAGTCACATCATGAACAACTTGAATGTAGGACGTTCCTGATTAATAACACTATGTAATGTTCTAAGTAAATTGGAGTTAAAAGACACAAAAATGGCATTGAGGTTTTTTGACTCCTTGGTATGGTCAGCTGCACTATATGGGCTAGAAATATGGCCAGAACATTGCCTTCTCAAAACAATGGATACATTACAGAACCTGTTTTACAGATGGTTTTTTCACATGCCAAAATCATGTAGCATTAGAGCTCTTAGATTATTATTTGGACGTTGTTGTGCAGTGTGTAATGTAAACAGTCGATTTCTGGTGTTCTTACATAGGTTGGCAATAGCCAATAATCAACTTTCAACTGAAGCAATTAAAGAATTATGGAATATAACAGTATCCGAGAACAAACTGCCCACTATGGTAAACTTGAAATTACAGGGGTTTAAGACATTCTACGTTAAATTGTCTACAATGTACCCAGAATTGAGTGCAATAAAATCTGCAGAAGATTTTGTCCAGTTTCTCAAGTGTAACATCAATAAAGGCAGAGAAAAGATCCTGATCACTCAATTTTGTCATGATAATTGTGATGTTGTATGCTACGGAAAACTGCGGAATTTCGACCCGAAATCGCGTTACGTCAGGTCCAATTATCATTATTATCATTTTTATGGCCTGATTGCGAAGTAAAGAAGTAAAGTTCTTGTTGATTATCTCATTACTCCTAGAAGGAGTACAAACAAATTATCGGATCAACGTTTCTCCTCTTCCCGAGAGAACTTCGCGAAGTATTGTTTGAGTTAGGTATTACGCATTTCAGTTCTCTAATGTAGAAGTTTTCGCAGGGTTACCATCAGAAAGATGTGAGATGTTTTTGTTGTTGAGGAAACTAAAATAATATTTTGGCAGAATCGTGAGGTTGCAGATTTGATACACTTATTCACGAACGATAAGAATACTTTACACGTATTTTCCAAGTGATATTTTCGGGATTGGAATAAATATTAACATGTCACTTGTTTTCGAATGGACTGTCACGAAATCCGCAGAGCTTCATCTTTTTCTTCTTCAAAATTTGAGAGTGCAAATGAAGAATTGAAGGTGTACGTATTTAGATTGTAATCGTGTTCTAAAAATTGAATATTGCCGCGAAAAATAAATAGGAAGTTTCTTTTAGTAATTTCTGATTTCGAGTAGAATGTGAGATATTTCCGCATAATATTTCATATTCTCGAACTAGTTTAAAAAGGCCTTTTGTACAAACAGATCAACTCTAGGGATTTTCTTTGATAATTTGTCTTCATTTTACTGTATTATGGAGGTTTTTTGGTAAAAAAATATCTTGCCTCGATTTGGGATTTTTTGATATACATTGTACAGTACAGTACTTTAATCTAATTTTTTTTTTTTGCCATCTTCTAATCGTCTTATTGTATTTGCTTGATTAGCCCGTGCCTTTGTGAAAGATCTGGATTTTTCAGCCTGAAATTTGTCGAGGAACATATCCTTGGCAAGATGCCTGCTGCAGTTTTAGTGACTCAATAAATGAAATGGAGTATTTTGAAAATGAAATTAATCTCAAGTAGAAGTTTGACATGAATCGAACCTTAATGCAGGAAATTTTCGACTTATTCCACTTCTTTTAAATTTATTGTCTAAATTCGTCCAAAATTACCCACTAGAAACAAGAATTATGCGCACCTCAAATAATGAAATTCAAAAAAATGTATAACCATTTATGAATTCCATTCTATTTTTCTTCTTATTTTTGATAAAAATCGCACGGAATAATTTAGTAAATACAGTACATAATTTTCCTAAATACATTTTTAAACAATTTATAATTCGACGGAGTACCATTTAAACTCATTTGGATGATTCGAATCGTATACAGTATTTTTCTAATGTATTGTTCCATGACGGATGGGAGAGAAAAGCTGTAAGCAACTATTTCTTCATTACCCCTTCCATGCCTTTTGGGGTTGATGATCTTCCGCAATTTTCTGCAGGGTCTCAGGACAAACGATTAGCCCAAATAATTGTTTTCCCTGAGCAACCGAAAGTATAAAACAAATGCGCCTCGTTTTCTGAAAATGATCCTAGTTTTTGCTGATGAAAACACATTTTCAAATGTAAAACCTCCACGAAACCATACTTTCATAGAGAAATTAGTATCGTCACCGTCGTTTCTTTTAGTGATTTTGATTTGCTTGTAAAATGAGAAATAAAAATTCCATCACTGCTTTTCACCTTACTCATCTTTATTCGTGGCTTTTTTATTTATTTTCCCCGACATTTTCTCGAAACGTCGCGAACAATTTTTCCGCTTATGAAATTATTTTCAACATTTCCCGTCATGCTTTCCAGTTCCATTAAATTTTTTTCGTTCCTTTTTTCGCGTCTGACAACCGTTAATACAGGTACTGTACAGTATTTTTTCCAAGTGCACCTGCACCAGAGCTTCCAAAGTGTTACTTGTATACACGAATCAACTATGGGAAAGGTCATCACGGAAAATGGTTGTGTCGCAACAAGTTGGCCTTGAAACACGTGAACTCGGGAGAAGTAATTTGATTTTTTCTCAAGTCTTTGATTTGACTTGACTGTCTGGGAAGAAGTGGTTGATTAGGTTGGGAATAAGCAGGTAATTAGGCAACAAATGCTAATGATTCGATTCTAGTATAGTACGGTATTAAGTGACGGGGGATTTTTAAAATGGAATTTCTCCTGACGCTTGTCCGACGTGGAGAAGATTGTCAAATTAGAATCCATTCTTTTATAAATATGTTTAAAAAATTTATTCATCTTTTCAATTTCAATCGCATACGTTTAAACAAATAAAAAACGCGAAAAAAAGTTATGTGCCATATTTTATTTTATTTTAATAAAAAGGCTGAAAGAATTTTTTCAGAGGCTATCTTAGTACTGCGTTAAATTTGATGGATTTTCGAGCAGGATTTTTCATTTTAATTTTTTGCGAACGACTCATTTAATGCACTCTTGTCGGATGAGTTCTTTGAAAAAATTTCCCCGATTTTTTTCATGTGGCCAAGATGGCGGAAAAATGAATGAATATTCTGTTGGAAGTAAAAGCCGGGTTTCTTGTCCCACTTCTGTGCGTCCGTGGTCGGGGAAAAAAGCTCAAATATTATTTTATATTCNAGTGCACCTGCACCAGAGCTTCCAAAGTGTTACTTGTATACACGAATCAACTATGGGAAAGGTCATCACGGAAAATGGTTGTGTCGCAACAAGTTGGCCTTGAAACACGTGAACTCGGGAGAAGTAATTTGATTTTTTCTCAAGTCTTTGATTTGACTTGACTGTCTGGGAAGAAGTGGTTGATTAGGTTGGGAATAAGCAGGTAATTAGGCAACAAATGCTAATGATTCGATTCTAGTATAGTACGGTATTAAGTGACGGGGGATTTTTAAAATGGAATTTCTCCTGACGCTTGTCCGACGTGGAGAAGATTGTCAAATTAGAATCCATTCTTTTATAAATATATTTTTAAAAATTGATTCATCTTTTCAATTTCAATTGCATACATTTAAAGTTTAAATGTATGCAATTGAAATTGAAAAGATGAATAAATTTTTTCTCGCGTTTTTTTATTCTTTTAAATTTTAAGCAAATAAAAAAACGCGAGAAAAAAGTTATGTGCCATATTTTATTTTTTTTATAAAAAGGTTGAAAGAATTTCCTTCAGAGGCTATCTTAGTACTGTGTTCCTTTTGATGGATTTTCGAGCAGGATTTTTCATTTTAATTTTTTGCGAACGACTTATTTATTGCACTCTTGTCGGATGAATTCTTTGAAAAATTTCCCCACATTAAAAAAAGTACACCGGTTCTACCGCCTTTTTACTTACTTATAAGACAACCTTCATTTTCGGCCCAAAGAACAGGGTGAAGACACGCAGGCACCAGCCCCTTTTTTCGAGTTTATAATAAAATATAAGAGTATATTTATTTCCTTTGATTCTCTTGTCGACTAAGCTGGGAAATGTATGACGTAGATTTTCGTAGTTCTATTTCGAAGCCTCGCATGTTCATTCAAAATTGAAACGATAGAAAAAAAAATCTCGCCTCGACTTTGATAATATTTCGTGTTTTTTAAGAAGTTTTCTTTTCCTCTTTATAATTTAAAAAAAGGCTTCGACCAAGCACCGTTTCCTTTAAGCTCAAAAAATCAGGCCTTGCAAGTTGGTGGCAAGCTTACGTCTTCCCTACCAAGATTTCAAAAACTTATTTTAAAAATGAAGTTATTTGGGGTTCATTGAAAAGAATTGCATGCCCTCGATCAGTCACTGAGGATTTTCTTCAATGTCAGCCCTGAATTGGACGAATTACTGCTTATCAATTGATATTCGAGATTTATTTTCACGATTAGTGGACATTTCAAAGATACGGAGACTCATTAGGAACAGGATTGTCAAATCTGAAACATTAAAATTTTATGCCGTTCTAATTATAATAATCGAAAAATTTGGAAAATGTTGGCAAAGTGATAGATAATCAACACTGATGTTTAAGGTAAATTTTAGTTTTTTATTATTGTAGCTTTAAAAATGACGCAAATCTTAATTGGTCGGGGAATATTTCGAAAGGAGGGAATCACGAGACTGGTGAAACTTGTGAATTGACCCACGCGTGTATTTTTAGAATGTTTTGAACAGTCGGACATTCCTTCTGTTCGCACATGACTTTGTGTGTGTGTGGGCGGAAAACCACGTTCGAAATGCTTGCCTTTCTTTTATTTTCTAATTCTTTCATTTTTTTCCCCGTTCTCTTCTATTTTTTCCAATTTTCATTTATCTTTTGTGACTGAACGGTTTTATTAAAAGAGTGTAAAACTATGCCAGAAGCATCCGGTGTCACGTTCGGAATGACTGAAGCCCAAATTGTCAAGGAATATGATTTTCTTGTGCCGGTTTTTTTTTTCTTGTTGCTGAGATCGCTTCCAGTTTGAAAGGGATATTTTTTTATATTATTATATAATCATTTAATCAAGATTTTTGGGCGACGGAGGAAATTCGAATCAGAAGAATTTTTCGTTCTGCCATTTTTACGCTGCCGGTTTTTTTCCTATGGAAGTAGCCACTTTTATTACTGACAAAATTTTACGTAACTTAATGCACGAAAATTTAATATATATGTTGGACTTATTTAGGTCAAATTTCTCAAGAATTTCTGATCGATTCCCTGAAAATCGAAGCATTTTAAACCCAACTTGGAATGTTTACGTCCAGCCTTCCTATTCAGGAATTTTCTAAACCATGAAGCATTTGATTTTGGCCTAAATGAGCGGTAGCTATTTTATTTTTTTTCTTGATGATTTTACAAGTTATCGGGCAAGTTCGTGTAGGTATAAAATACTGTGCATGATTACTCAAAAAATCTGAAAAAACCTGGAGCGATCTGCAAAAAATTGACAAAATGTCATGACCCTAGAACTTTTCAACTGTCTAAACACGTTTTTCAGACGAGCGAAAATGTTTTATGGGGTAGAAAGTTGTTATTGATTCGGTGACAGAAATTAAAGTTCGTTATGAAAAAAAATTCTTCCTATGGGGAAAAATATTTCAAGTGTTGGAATGTTTTTTTTTTCTCGAGGCTACGAAAATAAAACTGTTGTCGTGTTTTTGCTTTTTGACGTGGTGGAATTTAAAAAATGATTTTCGTTTTGATTTGCATTCCTCACGTTTCTGAACCGTGTGCGTCGAATCGCGACTTCCTGTATATTTTTTCCATCGTCTTTTTTTCTGCTTTTGACAAGAAAAGAGAGATTAAATTTAGCTTCAAAGCTTTCCATTTCTTTATAAGTTCAGGTTAGGATTTTCATCATTATTTTTCTTCTGGTTCGGAGGGTTCATTGTTGTGACATTTTCTTTTTACAAGCAGAACTGATGAAGTTCTGCTTTTTTTTTTAAAGAAAAACCTGCGTTTCTTGCTCAGAAATCCCGCGAAAAACACGAGATCATCTTATGATCTGGATTCAGAGGAATGTTTCGATCAAAAAAACCTATTTTTTGTGCCATAGAACCCATTTCTGCGCATTTTCCTTTTGTACAGTACTGTTTCCGATTTTTAAAAAAAGGTTCTTTTCATCATCCTTCAGTAGTTGCGAGATTAAATTCTCGCGTAATTTATTTTGAGTGATTCTTTTTTTTTTTGGTTCTTGACGAAATTTCCTCGAATTGGGCTGACTTCTGAAACGATCGCTGAAAATATTTTTCACTTGGAATATGTTTCGACTGGGAAATAATTTCTCAGCCGTTTCATGAGATTATTTTTTGCGTTTTTCATTTGAATGATTCGAGGATTTCGAGGACAGCATTAAATTGAATATACCTTGTGTGTGTTTTTTTTTTCAAACTTTTTTATGTGTTGAAGGATTTTTTCGAATTTTGTTTCAGTTATGTGAAACACTTTGAGATTGTTAATCCTGTTTTTTAAATATTGTGACTGAATTTTCAGCCCCTATATTTTTTTACTTGAAGTGGTGTATATACGTGAATCTTCGGTGACGATGCAAAATAATTTAATTTTTGGGAAATTAATGACTGCACATATTTGTAGTGCTTAACTATTTTTTTAAATGCTGCAGATTTCAAACTCGGTTCATTTCGAACTAGTTCAAGTTTTTGAAAGCATTTATAATTTTGTTGGTCAACTTTTCAAACATGCAATACAGTATTCTCGTTGCGTTCTTTGAATAAAAATTTGAACAATTCGCGGTTTTTTCTCGGACTTTCGCTCACGATTTGATGAAATTTTAGATTTTTTATTTACAGATAAACAGTTAAGTACAGGCCAGCAAGCAGGAAGGGCATGATTTATGACCTACTACCTCTACTCTTTACTACGCGCAGGTAGCTGAAGGCTACCGTAAACGGCCTTCTACGTATAAAACATTCTTGGGGGTTTCCATGGGAACTCGGGTTCGGGTTCATTCCTCCATCTGAGGGCTTTCTGTGTGTGTCTATGCAGTTGCCATGGAAAATACTAGTCTCAGGGTGGCTTTTGGCTGCGGATCTTTGCATTCCAATTTCACATCGCTGCTAGTAAAGAGTATTTTTACGAGAAAATAAATGTGGTGTCGAAATTTAGTGAGCTTTGGTAATACAGTATGAAGAAATTTCATGTGTGACAACGAGGACGGACTTAGATTAAATCTGGTTTTCGAAATGAACAGCGTGGTTTTTTTTTTTCTTTCTAAAAACATTTCCGAGTTTTGTACGTTAGATTGAAATTTGATCCTGCAGTTTTCTGATGGTTTTTACTAAGGTTAGAGACACCTCTAGTTACTGTTATACATTTAGATTGGAGGCAAATAAAAACGCTTCCCAAAAGAAGCGACCGTCAGAGCTTAGCTCGTTTAATAACAAGTGTTTACACGTTATCTAAAAGTAACTTTCTCATCCAGCATCACTGACACAAAAATTGTCAACATGAGATGAGATTTTTACAAATATTTACAGTGCAGTACTCGGACTGTTTCATTCCTAATAAATACAATTTCCCACGATTGCGGATCATCCAGTGATTCAAAATCTGAAAATGTTGGGTTAATTACGAAATTTTCGTACACAATTTAATGTCAACTTACTCGAATCTTTTGGAAATTTTCACGTTTTTTTTTTTTAGAAATGATGCGAAGAATATAAATTTTTCAGTCTACCCTGTATATTTATCAATAATTGAATTTAATTTTCTAAAAAAAAGAAGAGAAAATACTATGCACTTTTACAGTATATTTATGGAAGCCCATTCCTACAATTTTTTTTTTTTTTTTTTTACAATTCAAGCTTCTGTATGATCTTCAAAACAGTTTTTAAATTACTGTACTGTGTTTGAAACACGTAAAACTAAACTTTTAAATTTTCTGACTACCCAATAAATCTGAAATTTGGCATGATTGCGTCGTTATCCAATTTCCTGTGAGATTTTCATGGACTCCAAATCAATGTTCTTTACATTGTCGAAAACGGCGGGGGTTACGTCTCATTTCTTCGACGGATTTCCGCTGTTATCATCCGACGTCGTGATCTTTTTTGTCTTTTCTTTTTATTTTTTTATTAGTGATGTTTGACCTGTTCCTGATACTTTATCATATCTCACTTCCATTTCCGCAACTCAAACGCGAATGGGATGAAAGCCGAAGCACTCCTGTGTTATTGGATCCAGTCCTCGGAAAAGTGATTTGGTTATTGCTCCCACTGTTTCATATCTTCAAAGTATTTTTATTTTATTTATTTATTTTATTTTTTTCATGTGCGTCGCGGTAGAGGTGTGTGTTTGAAAGGTGTTATCGCGGTGAATCGACATATGCCTGCGACTGAGTTGATATGCAGGAAAATGCCCAGGGGTTCCACACAAAGTTCTTGCACGGGCACAAGACGGGTCTTCTGTCCATCAGTGATGCCGGGATAACAGTCAAGTACTCCATTTCATGTGAGTAAAAATTTTGTTTTATTTCATCTCGAAATTGTTTTGTAGATAAATTGGATTTCGTCCGATTGTTAGAGATTAAAACATGACTGCTCCAGGTAACAGAAAATATTTCTGGGAAATTTTCTCCAGGTTTCAGGGTAAGTTGGCTATGAGTTCAGTGTGAAAGAAGACCACAAAAATGTAGAAATGTGCTTTGTTTTCCATGTACTGTAATAAGGGATAGGTTTAAATTCATATTTTTCCAATAAATTATTTAAGAAATGTTTTTCTAATGAATTTTAAGAAATATTTTTCTAATGAATTTTAAGAAATATTTTTCTAATGAATTTTGAGAAATATTTTTCTAATGAATTTTGAGAAATATTTTTTATTGAATTATGAGATATTTTCCAATGTACTTCAAGAAAATATTTTTCTAATTTTTTGTATGTGCTTTGTTGTCCATGTACTGTAATAGGGGATAGGTTTAAATTCATATTTTTCCAATAAATTATTTAAGAAAAGTTTTTCTAATGAATTTTAAGAAATATTTTTCTAATGGATTTTAAGAAATATTATTCTAAAGGATTAAAAAAATAATTTTCTATCGAATTTTGAGAAATATTTTTCCAATGAACTTTAAGAAAATATTTTTCTGACGCATTTTAAGGAATATATTTATAATGAATTTGAAGAAATTTTTTTTTCTAATTTTTTGAATCATGCATAAAATGTTTGTAGCATGAAAAATAAAATGAAAATTTAAATTCCGCAGCGGAAATTTTGTGCATTCCGTGGAAAGACGTGTTTGGGTTTCGGTCCGGAGCCGACGGACGACCCGATAATGACGTCGACCTCAGGTCAGACGTGTTGTGTTCGTTGATCGACAAGAGTCGCACATTGTCTCTGTGGCCCTTCACGGGGGTTGGGTCAACTGTGTCGGAACAGAGCAGTATTGGATCCCCAGTGTTGGAATCATCTGAATTGCGGTACTTGCACGTCTACTACGCTTACCGCAAGTCCTGCTCGCAATGGGTCGTCGCCCGATTGACCCTGTGTCACTCGGACGCGGATTTGATGGCGAAATTGGAAGCTGTGATGGAAGAAAAGCTTTCGGGTACTGTATTTTTTTCATCACTTTTTTTCATAGATGACGCTTGAATAGGCGAAGTTGAGGGATTTTCATTCGTTGTTTCATTTCTAAAATTCATATCAGATGTAACAAGTGAGACGATGTAAATCAAGAACAGATGGGAATTTTATGGCGAAATTTTAAGTTGTCATTGAAGAAGAGCTTTTAGGACTTCGTCTTGTGGTGTATAGATGTCGCTTGAACGTGATCTAAGAAATGCCTTTAATTTTCTTACGTTGATTACATTTTCTTCCTTCAATACGAAGGAAAAAAAGCAATCTAGTGTATCAGAGGGTCAGATTGAGTCATATATGAATGTGGATTTGATCGCAAAATCAAGATCTGTGATGGAATAAAGTTTTCCGTGTAAGTTTCTTTTTGGTAAATGTCGTTTGAATACGGGGAGGGGTTTCTTTGATGATTCAATTCTGTAAGCCAATGTTAGTATACGTTCCGTTAATTCTCTTTCCATGAATACGGTCGAGCTTCATCAGACCCCATGGTCGCCACCTAGGTCAGTCTTTCTTCATCAACCATGGAGGATGGTCGCATCCTCCTCCATGGGACCTTCCTTTTTTCGGCCACACCCAGGGTCACAGGTGTTCAGTTCAACCGATACGGTTCACTTCACTCACGTGTGTCTCTTTGGGTGTTTGCCCAACTTCTTCATGGTGTCTACCTTTTCTAACATATATATTTT